AGAATTTTGTGAAATAGATGAAAAAAGAAACTTTACAAAAAAAAAATTCTTAACAAATTTATTTACAACACAATTTCAACAATCTTGTGATTCTTTCGGTGCATATATCATTATCATCATCATTATTTAGCAGCAATCGTTTGATGATGCAATAGAAAACATACAGAATATTTTTTTGTGTTGAGATTTTCTTTTCGTTCGGATTTTTTTCTGTTGCTGATGATGATGATGATAAGGATTACACGATTATAATACAACAGTACAGTACAGCACAGCTCAGTACAATTATATCACAAACAAACAAAAACTAAATTTAAATTGTGTGTAGACAATTCACACGCTTTAAAAGGATTCTCTCTCTCTCTCTCTCTCTCTCTTGATCTGTTACACTCTGCTTCTCACACCCAAAACTTACGAAGAAGAAGAAGACGATGACAGAAATAACATGAGATTCTCAAATAGAAATTGAAAGAGAAAGAAACAAAAAAAACAAAGACAAAATCGAAATAAGATACGAAAAAATTTTGTTTAAAATGAAGAAAAATCGTCAACATTACCATTTACCAAATACAAAATGATTATTCACAAATGTCTTATTGATTTGAAATGTTTTTTTCTTTTCAAACATACACACACTGTGTATTTTGTATGTAAAGTAAGTCGAATTGACGTCGAAAAAAGTAGAAAGAAATTATAATTTGAGCGCTTAAGACTTTAAGTTTATATGTTGATGATGGGGTATATTTATATTGATGCTAAATTCAAAAAAAGAAAAAGAAAATTATCATCATCAATAAACACAATTGTGGTGGATGGTTGGATGGATGAATGAATGTTGGATGGATGATAAAAAAGAAAAGAAAAGCTCACAAAATACAAAATACAAAAAAAAAACTAATCGCATTTACACAACAACACAAAACGAAAAAACGAACGAATGAAAACACAATTTTTTTTTAAGTTGGTGGATTTTGATGACAAGTTTTTCTCTCTTTCTGTGTTTTTTTTCACTTTGATTGTTTGAGTTTTTCTTTCTCTCTCTCTGGCTCTCTCTATTTTCGATATATCAAAAAATCTCTTGCTTGTTTGTGTGTGATGATAAAAAGGATATCTGTATGCTTCGTATTCGTTTTTCTTTTCAGGATTCCATAACGACGACGACGCACAAAACAAGCATCGTTTATCTTCTTTCATTTTTTTTTGTCAAGACGCACTAACCATATACAAAATACACCTACACACATCACTTTTAAACACGAAACAACGAAAATACAGACGACGATTAAATGGATATATCCATCCATGGATCGGACAAAAACGATTTTTGGAACAATAATACCACTACCACTTATTATCATTTGATTTGGAATTTTAAATGCACATTTTTTTATGCTACTACCACTGAATAATTGGGAAAAAAATCATGATTGTTCTGCCATCTAATGGTCATTTTTTTGAATATTTTATTTTGGATTTTGAAAAAAAATTTCAAATTTTTTAATTTAGATTTTTTTTTAATTGAAAAAAATATTTTTTCTTCGATAAAGATGTAATCAACACATTTGTCTGATTGTAAGATTGTAAAAATCGAAAACGAAAAAAAAAAACAGAAAAGAACAAAAGTCGATAGAAATTGAGCAAAACCAAAACAAAATCGAATAAAATTCAAATTCAAATTAATTAAATGTTTGGCATTGTTGACAATCTTTCATTTCATCACGATATTCTTCAATCTGTACAGTAAGCTCATAGATATCATAACGTGATTTTATTTCACGAATTGTTGCATTCAAAATATGTGTCGATTCTTTTCCTTTTTCTAAATCATATGAATTTGATAAAAAATTTAATTAAATAAATCAATAATAAATGAAATAAACATCAAACATACCGATGGCTAAATGTGTAGATAATGCTGCTTTATCTAGACTTAATGACCATATACGTAGATTATGTACTTTTCTTACACCATCAATATTCAATAATGTACGTTGTACCTCTTTTATATCGATACCTTTTGGTATACCTTCCATTAATACATTCAATACATCTCTCATTATAGTCAATGTTGTTATCAATACAATTATTGAAAAGAAAAATGTACAAATTGGATCAATAATACGATAATCCGGATAAAAATAGATTACTAATGATGCAATCAATACACCAAGACTTTGAAAAAAATCACCCAATACATGAATAAATGCAGCACGAACATTAATATTTCCTTTTCCTTGATGATCAGAAGTTGAAAATCCATGACTATGATCATGTCCATGACCATTTTCCATACTACCACCATGTGAATGTCCATGTGGTATTCCACCACAGGTTAACGAACATCCCATTCTATTTCGAAAAAAGTTTATTACAATTCAATAAAGTTGACACCGAAAAATAAAACTTACACAATATTAACGACAACACCGATAGCAGCCGTAATAACCATAATTTCACTTTGAATTTCAAAATCATTTTCAACAATACGTTCGGTAGCAATATAGCATAATATACCGGTAACAACCCATATCATTAATATTGATGTTAATGCACCAATAACTTCAGCACGATGCCAACCAAAACTCATATTTTTTGATGCCGGTTTACTAGCCATCCAAATAGAAAATAATGATATCATAAAACTAGCAAAATCTGTTAATAAATGTGCAGCATCCGATGCAATAGCTAAACTATTTGCCCAAAGACCACCAGCAATTTCAATAGCCATAAATATTAAACATAATATCGATGCAAGAATCAAACGAAATCTTGCTTGTTCATCGATACGATTGTTTTCTTCATTATAAAAATGACAATGTGGTAGTTCATAATTTTGTCTAGCATTATCTTTGATACAGGTTACTTGACAACATAATTCTGAATCCAAACCATGTATACAATAAACAATTGAATCATTTTTCTTTTCCGATTCATCATTTGTTATTGAATTATATGATTTATTCGATGTATCAATTAATCTATTATTATTTTTTTCAAATGATAAATCAATTTTGGATAAAACTTTTTTTTTAAAAAGAATTTTCGTTTCTCTTTACTACTTACAAAAGAGATTCATTTTCGTCCTTTTTCAAATTATTTGATGACATTGTTACTTGAAAAAAATAGTTTCTTGTCGATAATTAATTATAAATTGTTGATAATTATAACAACGAATGAAAAAAAGAACGATTATTGGCGTTGATTAATAATAATGAATGATTGATTTTTTTTTCTTCTAAAGATAAAATGTTTGTCGATATTTGACCATTCACATCATCTCATTATCATAACTATTTGAAGAAGAAAAAAAAACAAAGAAATGACATTTAAACTATAACATTGAATCAGTGAAAATTTTCATGTTTGAAAATCATTCATTCATCATACCGAAATTGTAATGATCGATGATGAGAATGGTTAATATGAATTTTATTCATTTTTTCTCATTATCATCATCATTCAGAAAAAAAACAGAGCTAAAAAAATAGGAAAAAACCAATCATAATTGATAGAAAATTTTAATTTTATCAAATCAAATCGAATATACAATTTTGTTTTTTTGTTTGTTTGTTTGTTTCTCGATTAATAAATGAACATTCATTGTTATTAAATTTTGTTGTTGTTGTTTCTGAACAAATGCAACAATATTTCATTATCAAATCAATAGGGAAAAAAATATATTTAACAAATATTAAGATATGTGTGTTTCTAAAAGAGAATGAAAAGATTATAATAATCACCATATCATCATCATTCATCATATGATAATTTAAACAAGATGTCTGTGTTTAAAATTTTCTACACATATTTCCATCCAACATAATTATCATCGTTCATCGATTTGTTGAATCAATAAGATTATTAAATGCTGCAACAGTTCTATATAATGTACGTGACCATACTGGTGTAACAGGAATCAATGATCGATTTGAATTAAGTAAATCATATAGATGATGAAGATTACAACTGTTATTATTATTATTATTATTATCACGATAATGATTAATCAAATCCGGTTGATAAAGTGATCTTGAAATACATCTTATTGGTATTTTTTCATCATCATTTGATGATAATAATTTTATCTGATCTTTATGATTAAACGACAATTCATTACGATTTAGACCGAAACGTTTTAATTTTAATTTCGAATCTAAAACCATTTCCATCGATCGATTCATATAATTAAAACAGGATACATCATTTTCTTCAATACGACGATCAAAACTTTCATGATAATCAATAAAATCTTGTTTATTATATGATGATAAAATATTCAGATCAGTAAGTGGTTCTTTTTGAGCAATTTTATAGGAATTTCTAAGATAAGGATTGATTGGTTCTCGTCCAACATTATAAATTATTCGATTATTTCGTAACGAAAATGAATTACGTGAACTAATCAATTTTGTCAAAATGTTTCGAATGAAATTCTAGAGAAAACAAACATTCAATTATTAATAATTTCATTTGAATAATCATAAAGAAAATATGCTTACCTTTAATGCTACATTACAAAGCTGTGTAACTTTTCTATCGATTACATTGAAACCTTGTAATGAAGCAAATTGTGAAATTCGAAGACCTAATCGAACATTATCGGGAAGAGCAACCTCATGATAACATGTTTTTAATTTATCCATTTTTTCTTCGGATGACATTCCTTTTACTAATTGATCAAAAGTATTTACATTATCATCATCATTAACAGAATGGACATTGTTGTCATCATCATCATCATTTGAATCATATTTTTTAATTAAATGTTGTTGTTGTTGATCATCCAATGTGGCATTCATTATTGGATCAAATACTTCAAATGAATTTATTGATGTTTTATTAACATTTTGAAATTGATTTAATGATTCTACTTTTGAATGATTTGATTTCCATGTTGATTGATTATCATTCCATTCATAATAATTATCACTTTTTTGACTTGCATCATCCGAATTCGGTAATGAATCTAATGTTGTTGATATATTTGGACTAGTTGGCAATAATGGTGATGAATAATTGGAATTATTTTCATCATTTTGTTGATAATCAGGCATCTTGTAATTAAGAAGTTCGGCAATTTTTGAATTGGCCATAATAAATGATGAAGGAAATGATGATGATGATGATGATGTTGTTGTTGTTGATGATTGATTTTGTGATGATTCATTAAAACAATATGTAACAGGTTCATTTGTATTAGAATTTATATTACGATAAATCGATGATGATGAGCTACTATGATGTTGTAGATGAGGAATTGTTGTTTCTGAATTTAAAATTCTACTTAATAATGAAAAATTTTTCTGCTGATTATTGTTACAACTGTTTTGTCGTTGTGATTGATTATTATTCATAATAGTTATTGTTGTTTTTAATGGACCACTAGATTTGGCATCGATTGTCTGTTGTAAATCATTCGAATTCGATGATTCTGCATCATAGAATATAGTGTTTTTATCGTCATCTTCTTCATCGCTTGATTCAATGACCATAGCTTTACGTTTTTTCTTCTTCTTTGTTGTCGTAACAAGATCACCATCACTGAGATGATCATCTTGATAGATAGTATTATTATCATTTTCGTTTTCATTATTAATATTATCATCATCATCGAAAATTTTCAGACATCTTTTTCGTTTACGTTTTTTAACAATCAAAAGATCATCATCTTCATCATTAATGGAAGTAGTGGGTAATTTTTGTTCATTTGTTTCAATCGATTCTGATGATGATTTTGTCTGTTCGTGAACAGCATCAATACCCACACAATTCGAAATGATAATATCACTGAAAGAATTTCTATCACTGGAATAAATGTTTTCCAAATCACTACCATCGATGAGATCATCAAAAAAATGTGAAAATTCATCGATAATATTAATGTCACAGTTATTTGCCTGTTGATAAATAGCGTTCATATAATCATTATGAATCTTTTTTAATGAAATATCCACTAAAAGTAGATTTATCGATCGATGATATTGTTCATGATCAATTTCAAATGAAAACCAAGATCGAAGAATTTTTTCATAACTTTCATATTTATCTTTAAGTAGTTTTTTCAATCGTGATCGAATCGAATATACATCCGGATAATCAATATCGACATAATTTTTGAAATAATTTATCGGTTTGGATGGTGGATTTATTAATTCTTTAAATTTGGCCAATTCTTCCGGATTTTCTCGTCGTGTACCGATTTCATATTTCGTTAATAATTTTTCTTTTTGTTCATGTTTTTCAACAAGTTCTTCAACATGATTACTAATACCATCTTTATCATAACCAAGAACATCGGGATGATTACAATTAACAAAATGAGGTAATTCAGCTTCACTTTCATGAACACAAGGCTGAACATTGGATATCTTTTCCAACATATTGATGTTCACTATTATCTTCAACTAACTAATGAACATGATTATCATTTGAAAAAAAAATTGATCGGAAAAAAACATAAATTTTAAAAAAATCTCAAATCAAATCAAAAAAAAATCCTCGTAAAAAAACATTGTGAGCAGCGCAATTCATAAACAACGTGATTAAAAGAATTTCAATTTTAAATTTTTAAAAATTTTTATTTCGGAATAAAAAGAATTCGGATATTTTTTCATCTTTTTCCTTTGCCCTTTTTATGACCGGCAAAACGTTGTTTTTGTTTCTTTTTCTGATGTGTCTGTATTCGTTCTAATCGTTTACGTTTTTTAAATATTTCATCTTTAGTTTTTAATTCACGTTTAGGAATACGTTTGTTACCACCACCACCGGATTGATGTTTCGGCTTTTTTCGTGATGACATTTTTATTGAACGGTTACGTTTTTGTTTTTCTTCACCATCTTCATCATCATTATCATCATTATCGTTGATAACATTGCGATCAGTTTTAGATTTTTTCCGCCATTTTTCATACATTCCAGATTTATATGATGCATTAATTAAATTTCCACTTTCGGTTCGAATTTTTTTCATTTTTGGTTCATTTTCTCCTGGTTGTATGAATTTTTTCTTTTTTCGATCCCTATTTTATAATGATAATTTAGTTTAAAAAAAAATTAAAAAATCCAATAAAATTATTTACCATTTTAGTTGATTTTGATTTTTTGTTATCTGTCCATTTTCATCACCATCAAAATCCAAAACAGATTCTTTCAATTGAGTATCGAATGATTTTGTCAATTGTAAACCTTTTTCCGAATGAAAATCACTCGATTGATAAGTTAAATAGAATCCTTGATCTTTGAAATTTGTTTCATTTTCATCTGATTTTTCAAATGAAGAATTTGGTTTTTTACCCATTATTTTTTCCGAAATTTGACGTTTTGCTTTCATCACTTCACGTGCAGTGTTTGTTTTGTTTTTTCCCATTTCAAATACTGTCAAATTCGGTTTATATGATTTAATCGAACTTAACATTTCGACACGTTCATTTTCCATTTTAAGTTGATCAACTTTTTCGGTAGATCGATCAATGAAAATTGGATGATAACCAATTTTTTCATTACTCAAAAATGTTTTCATTTTTCGTACTGATTCACCATCGGCTACTTCTCTTGTTTTTAGATATTGTTTATATGCACTGTTACATACTTTATCCATTGAATCTAATTCGGAAAAATTTCCATGTAATTTCTGTATGATTTCATTTTGTTCATCAATAATTGATTGTGGTACATGACCATAAATGGTTTCATAATCATCATCATCATCATCATTAAGTATGGATGGATTAGCAGCTTTAAATGGTTGATTCAAGAAAAGACTTAAAGTAAAAAGATAAGGTAATTCATCATTACTGATCAATGAATATGCTGTTCCTGATTTACCAGCTCTTGCTGTACGACCAACACGATGAACAAATAATTTTGATCTTGATGGAAAATTAAAATTAATTACATTATCCAACAATGGAATATCGACACCACGTGCAGCCAAATCAGTAACAAGTAGAACATTTACTTTTTTCAAATGAAATAAATGAATATTAATTTTACGTGCTTCAGAATCAAGACTACTATAAAGATATGTTGATGAAATGAAACATTGATCTAATATTTCTTTAATATATTCAATATGATGTCTTGTAGGTAAGAAAACAATAGTCTGTTCAGTTGGTTTGATTGTATTTTTTAATAAATACAATAATGTAGCCAATTTATCTTCATTACGACAACTTAGATGAATTAAGCGTAAATTTTCACTAATCTTTGTTTCTGTATCTAATCGTATCAATATTGGATCGATTAGGCCTGCTTTTGTAAAATCAACGATTGTTTGTGGTAATGTAGCCGAAAATAGCAATGTTTGTCGTTTCGATGAAAGTCTTGATAGAATTTCGTTCAATTGTTCTTTAAAACCCATTTCGAATAATCGATCAGCTTCATCAAATACGACCATTTGAATGGCAGAAAATTTTAGATTCATTTCTACAGCTACATGAAGTAATCGTCCAGGTGTAGCAATAATTATGTCGGGATTATCATGTATCTTTTCAAATTGCCGTACCATTGAATCGCCACCCAATATTGTTTCACATTTTAAATCAGTAAAACGAGCAAATTCTCGGGCAAATTTATGCGTTTGTAATGCAAGCTCTCTGGTCGGTGATAATATAAGAACACGGGCACCTTTTTCAGTTTTATGGCTTTGAAGTTTTTCGATAATCGGTATGAGAAATGCAGCAGTTTTACCGCTACCAGTCCGAGCCATTGCAACAACATCATTACCACTCAACACAATTGGTATCGTTTTCCGTTGAATCGGTGTTGGATTTTTATATCCTTTTTTGTAGATACCTTTAAGTACAGGTTTACTTAGTTTCATTGATGGGAAACTCCCACCTGAAGATTTCATGTTGGAAGTTTTGATTTTTCGTAAAAATGTAAACAGATTTTTTAAATCAACCAAAATAATTATTTGGATACACGTGTGGATCCAAAATGATACTATCGATAGTGAACAATCGATGAATCAATCGAATTTTTATTGATCATATTTTTTTTTTGGCAACAACAACAAAACATTAATTTGGTAATTTGCAAAAAAAAAGTCAATTTACGTCGTCAAAAATTCATTAAACATTGCTTGTGATGGTCCTGGTTGATCCATCGGTGCCATATGACCAGATCCCATTATTGTTTGATAGATTAGTTTACCATAACGTTGGCGAAATCCACCAATCTGATTATTATATTTCCAAGGTAAATATTCAGTATCTGCTTTGTATCCAAGACTTTCGACAAACCTATTTATTGCAAAAGATTGTTTCTCATTATTTAATTCATTTTCAACAAGAAAATGTTTCATACCATCTATCGCCCAAGTAATTGCATACGGTATCAAAATCACCGTTATAAATTAGACCTTTAAGACCAGCATCGATCAGTTCTTTAACTTGACTTGTCATATCTTGATATATTGTTGTGTAGTTAATGATATTGAGTTCCCATTGTGATTTAGCATGTGAACTTATATGCAATGCTTCACGTGTTGTTGGTCGATTAAGATATCGTTTAAATGCAGCATAATCAACGGTTGGTGCAGCAAATTTAACATCATTACATTTACTGTTTTGAAGATTTTTACGTCTAATCGTAGTAATCCAGTCTACTTCACCAATCGTTTCATCCAAAAACGATCCTTGATCATTGATTGGATCAAAACACATCCAATGATAGATGTTATATGGATCGAAATTTCCATAGACAAAATTTTTTATTTTTTCAATTTCATTATTGCATTTTGAATTATCATTGTTGGCAAAATCACATTGTCGAGCGTTTGTTACGTTTGGACAGCAATTGTTCAAAAGATATTGCCATGTATCATCATTGATCAAAGCATGATGATAATAATAATGTATTAGCGAGTTTTTTTGCATTTCATAATTCATAATACCATTACCGATAAGAAAGCCTTTAAAATTTTTGGGATAATGATTTTCCAATATTTTAACCGAAAGTGTTGGAACATAAACACCACCATAACTTTCTCCCGATATATACAATGAATTTTCTTCGAAATGTGGAAATTTTTTGAAGAAACTTTTCAATGCAACATAATTATTTTGAGCTGTAATATCATCATTGGTTGTATAATTATTATCAAGTTTATATGAATATCCAACACCGGCTGGTGATTCAATATACACCATATTTGCCTGAGCATTCCAGGAGAAATTGTTCATAATGATCATTTCATTTGAATCAATACGAAATGGTCCATTTTCGGTCAAAGCGCCCAATAGTGAACTAGCTCCTGGACCACCATTAAACCAGAATACGATTGGATCGGTTTTCGGATTACGTTGACTTTCGTATAGCCAATAATGAAGAAAAGCACCATCTTCAGCTTCTAAATATCCTGAATAATGACGAAAATTTATTTTATCTTTCAAACCGGGTAGATTTTTCACTTCATCAGGATTCTCAATCAACAATGATGCAGTTTCACGAAAACTGAACAGAAAAATTAATGACAAAATTATGACAAAATTCATGATTAATTATTGAAAGTGTGTTACTGTATGAACAGGTTACAGTAGCCTAATTTTATTTATATAGATTTTAATTTTTTTTATTATTTAAACTAGTGATAAGTAAATAGGATATGAACTATAGTTTAAAACACTTGAAAAGCATACTTTTAATTAATTGACAAGGATATTTTGATTTTATTTCTTGGAATTGATTTATTATTAATTGATAATTTTTTATTCTATTTTTTCTTTTTTCGTTTTTAACACGCGCAGATATAAATTGATCTATTTATTATTATAATCAAGACAGTATCATCATATCATAATAAGCACCATGTCGATGATGCCATTAATCTATAAACTTAAATCCATGACAAAATCATTGGATAAAAGTAAAACGGATTCAGACAGTTTATTTCAAGAGATAATTGATATACGTAAAGAAATTGAAGCATCAATACATTGGTTAGCTATATCACCTCAACAACAACAACAGCTACAACAACGACAAAATATTTTTATTGATGATCATCAATTAATTGATCAATCATCACTAGTCATTCAAGCAATTCAACGTGAAAGTCCTCAAGTATCAAAATTACGACAACGAAATTATATACTTAAACAACAGCTACAAGAGTATGAATTTGCATTGGAGCTTATCATGAGTAAATATCGTCAATTAATATTAATGTTATTACAAACATCGAATCGTTGTCAACAAAATATTTTGAAAACACATCAAAATCAACAACGAGATAGAACAAAAACGAATATAATAACAAGTACAACTCGAATTCAACAATTAATCGAAACATTTAATGAGAAAATTTCACCTTATAACGAAGAAATATTGTTAAAACAAACTGAAAAATTACAACAACTTCAAGTAGAATATAAAGGTCTACTTGAATTATACAGAATTTCTAAAGAATTTGGTTCTTTAAAATCAAATAAACAATGACAACAAGATGCTACATAATTCACTTATTTTTGATTATTTATGAATGAAAGCAATAATAATGGATAATTGATGATTATTTTTTTTAATATTAAAAATTAAATTTAAAAAATAACTTTTAAAAACCGAAACACATTGTCTATGAACAGCTTAGACGCGCTGGTTTATTTTTTCGAAGGGAATTTTCAGTTCTTTTAAAATAAATTTTTTAAAATTTAAAGATTGTCATTTAAATTCGATAATAATTAGCGAAATACTTTTTGATGATCAATCTAACCAAAAAAAAATTAGCATGTCAAATCCAGGTTCTATTAATAAGCCGTCGACAAGCGGCGAACAAAATTCATCACAAGAATTTGATGAAATGAACATCGATTTATTGAGTTATCTGGAAAAATTCAATCCAATTCTATTAAATCAGCTTTATGAATGTCCAACTGCATGTTTAGCAGTTTTTCGTGAATTACCGTCGTTAGCTCAGAATTTTGTTCTTAGATTAATGTTTATTGAACAACCGATTCCACAAGCTGTTGTTTCATCTTGGGTTAAATCTATAAGGTAACCGATACAATTTCGGCATGGCAAATAATTGTTTTGTTTTTTTGTCATCAAATACAAGTGATTACAACGAAGCTGCAGATGTACTCACAAGACTTCAAATATGGAAACTGACACCGATGCAATCTGGATTGCCAGGTCGATTGTTGAATACAACTTTTCAAAAGAGTCTTCAAACATCATGGCTTGGAGGGTTAGTGATGATGATGAATAATGATTTATATCAGACATTTTGACAATTTTCATCCAATTAGTGGTAAACAACGTTCAATATTCAATGCTCTTGGAACGGATAAACATCGTCCTGATATCGAAACATTGGACAATTATTCTATCAACAAACGATGGGATTCAGTTCTGAATTTTATGGCTGGTGTCAAATTAAAAGATTATAATGATAACATTGGTGAAATAACGAAAAAAGTTATCTTTCATGCCGGTCTAATCGAAACTGATAGTAATAACGAAATTATTATCACTGCTTCGGGTTTTCAATTTCTTCTCATGGATATTTCTTTACAAATATGGTACTTTTTAAGAAAATATCTAGAACTTGTTGAAAGTTTTGGTTTTAATTTTGTCGAATGTCTTGGCTTTATATTTGAACTAAACTTTTTGACACTTGGAAAGGTAAGTTAATTGTTATTCATTATTGGTTAATCATTTTCATTTGAACTTGAATTTCATTTTGCAAAAAGAGTTATTCCACTGATGGTCTCAGCGAATCGATTCAATCATTTTTACAACATCTGAGAGAAATGGGACTTGTTTATCAAAGAAAAGTTTGTATTCATTTGTTTTTTATTATTATTAACATTTTGAAATGAAATCTTTTTCCCTTTTTTAGCGTAAAGATGGTCGATTTTATCCAACAAGATTAATGATTCGTTTGTTTGAAAGTGTTCGTCGAAATTTTCAATTATCAAATTTAGCTTTAACACAACAGTATAATAAACGACAAGGTTTTATTGTTGTCGAAACAAATTATCGTGTTTATGCATATACCGGTAAGCATATCATATATTGGATTGTCGGAAAAATAATTGATTTTTTTTCCAGAATCACCATTACAAATAGCATTGTTAACATTGTTCATCGAATTGAATTATCGTTTTCCAAAATTTATTGTTGGTCTTATAACACGTGATTCTGTTCGTACTGCTTTCAAGAATGGTATAACAGCCAAACAGATTACACATTATCTATCGATGCATGCACATCCAAATATGTATTCGGAAAAACGTTCAACAGTTATACCGAGTACAATTATTGATCAGATATTTCTTTGGGAACAGGAACGTAATCGTTTAACATTCTGTGATGGTGTTTTATATTCACAATTCAATTCTCAAACCGATTATGAAGCATTAAAAAAATACGCTTTTGTAAGTTATTCATTTATCAATTATAATATAATAATCTTTATTAACACAAAATATTTACAAACAAAAAAAAATTTAGAATCTGGGTGTCATTTTATTCGAAAATTCATCACGACGATTATTGGTGGTCACTCCAACCGGTCATGAAGAAGTCAAACGATTCTGGAAAAAACATAAAAAAGAAAGAGATTAATGATTTATGTTTATGCCTGTCTTGTATTGATTTGTATAAAAAAAGAGAAAAGAAAAATCAAAATATTCACCTTATTGTTGAGTTATTGATGATTTTGATGAAAGACAATTTTTGTCACCTGAAATGTGAATACACAATATCTGTGAGTGAATGTGAAATGATATTGCAATTTGACTAGATATCTGGATCTATTGAGATTTTTTTTTTCGTCAATTTGGAATATTGATTTGATTATGATTTCGATAAACATTTAACATTTGTTTTTGTTGTTGTTGTTGCTGCTGTTGTTGTGTGGATAAATTACCACCATTCAATACTTCATCATCAACATTATCAGTATTATCAACATTATCGATGTAAATAACAATTCCATTTGGCCTTTTTTGTTCAGAATTTTCTCTATTATTTGATGAATTAATCATCATCATATTTAAACCTTTATCAAATGTATCATCATAATCTTCATCATCTTCTTGTAAACTACTTTTTCTTATTGTATTTTTATTATCAGTTAATTTACGATATTTTCTCGATAATAAAGGTTCATTTTCAATTTCATCTTTTTCATTTTCAATATTTTCATCTGAATGTAACAGATATTCTTGTTGATTAATTCTTTCATGTTGATCATGTAATGTATTATTATCATGTTCAATTGGAATCACATCATGATGATTATGATGATGATGAGAATGAGAATGATGATGATGAACATCGTTAAAAATTTTTGTATTTACAGCTTCAATAATATTATAACTTGTCGATTTGATTATAAATTTTGGACTTTTCGGTTTTATTGTTGTATCTGTGAATGAACTATTGTTTGATTGTAGTTCAATTTCCGGTTGATTAGTCGAACTTGAACGTGATTTATGATTGAATATACGAAATGGCCAATTCTTTTTGATGGTTTTTGGGCTAAGATGATTTTCTTTTTTCGGATGAAAAGTATTACATGAACTACTGTGAGCACTTTTTAACAATGAAAACGATGTATTTCGACCACCACCAAGATTTTTTTTGTAGAATTTTGATAAATTAGGTTCATTATGATTAACAAGTGAACCTTTTCTTGTTGAAGTAATATCTTGGAAAATTGTTGTAATTGGTGATTTATGATCTTTTTGTATCCATGGTGAATCAACATATGAAAATTTGCTATGATCAAAACGAAGTTGAGGTCCATCCACATGTCCACAAAGCCAATATGTTTTTACTTGTCCTTTACCTTTTAATGTTACGTAACCACGTTCTTCAATTATAAATTGTTTAGTCGATTCAAGAAGATTACGACATTCTGGACTCATATGGATTTTAAGAGCTTCACCTGTAATTAATGATGAAACGCAGTACAATTTCCAAACAAAAAAATTAATTATAAAGAAAAGAAAAGAAGAAAACAAAAATGGACAAACCATTGCTCTCCATTCGAGAAGCTGTATTAACTGTATCACCAAACAGACAATAACGAGGCATTTTTGTTCCAACAACACCAGCTACAACTGGACCTATATATATGAAAGTATTTTGTTGTTGTTTTTTTTCCAATTAATAATCGGATTTAGTTTGTTCCGAATCAATTAAATCCGAAACGAAAAGATACATACCTGAATGTATACCAATACGAAGCTGTAGATGTTGATTTTGACGATGACGAATTTGAAATGATTTGATTGCTTCAAGTATTTCTAATGCCATTAATGCAATTTCCATATAATGATGTTCATAACGAATAGGTAATCCCGAAACAACCATATATGCATCGCCAATAGTTTCAACTTTATAAACATTATAATGTGAAACAATCGAATCAAATAGACAATATAAATCATTAAGAAATGTAACAATTTCCATTGGTGTACTTGTAGCCGATAGTTTAGTAAAACCAACAATATCTGAGAAAAATATTGTTACTGCTTCAAATGTTTCCGGTATAACAGTTTCACCTGTTATTAATTGTCTGGCAACACTTTCCGGCAGCATTTGATATAACAATGTTTCAGTTTTTCGTTTCTCTTCATCCAATTGCTGTGTACGTTTTTGAACAAGATCTTCTAATTGATTTTGATAAACTTCCATCATTTTGACCATATTTTCAACAAGATTTTCTGGTGGTGGTCGAAATTTTTGTGCATTTTTTACCATAATACGTAATGCATCAATAGTTGGACGAACTTTTGGATCTTCATGCCAACAAAGATTCATCAATTCAATTGTATCATCATGTAATTCAGTGATTGCTGTATCCGGACGTCTTAATTGACCATCAGGTGTTGGTCCAGCTTTAACTTCATCAACAATTTTCTGCAATTCATCGAATAATATATCATCTTCAATTAGTTTGATAGCAAACGGTCCTTTTCGTACGGCAATTTCATGAACAATAACAGCAAATGAATATAAATCTCCTTCCGGACCAATAACATCTGGATTTCTTAATGTTTCTGGTGGTCGCCATAATTTATTATATAATGCAATTAATGGATCAGGTTCTTCTTTACGAAATGAAAACAATCCAAAATCATGTAATTTCACTACGAATCTACATGTAACCAGACAATTTGTTGATTTTAGATTACCATGACATTTTAGATCACTATGATGTAGATATGATAAACCTATTTATTTATTTATGTAAATCAATCATTGGGCGAAAACAATAAAACAAATTCATTAATCATAATTAATGATAAACTAAAACATGTGATCAATTTAACAACAGAAAATAAACTATAACTACGCATCAAAAATTCATTACATCAAAAAAAAACAAACAAAAACAGGCCATAACAATAACACAGATAATTTTGTCATTATCATTCATTATTAGTTAAATGCCAACCACATTTTGCTTGCTCGTTTGTTTGTCCAAAAAAAAGAAGAAAATCCCAAAAAGAAAATGTTCATTTCTTTTTCCTACTGATTTATATTTTATCGATGAGATTCAAATGAAACAGTTAAGCAACAACAACAACAACAAAAAAGTTGATTGAATGATTTTTTTTTCTTGTCAGGAAGAGAAAAAAATGCTTATCTAAATCCTATAAACATATCATTTACTAATATAGAAATCATTTTACTTGATAAGAACAATATTCAAAATAAAAATAAATTCCGAATAAATGAACAAAAGAAAAACCATTCATTCATTCATTCATTCATTCATTTGACTAGACATCTTATGTACTCAATTCATGTTTGCTTGACAGGAACTTGACAAGAAATTTTTCTCTTCCTTTCTTGATTATGAAATAATAATAATTGTGAGAAAAAAGGCAAATGTTTGATGCAAAACATATATATTTTTGATACATACCGCACATAATATCATGGACAAGTGATGATAGAAATTCTTCATCTAATCGTATTTCTTCATTTTCAAGTACATCACGTAATGAACCTTTTGCACAATATTCAGATAATAATAATACACTATGTGGAAATAATTCATGTGTTGTAGCACCAATAAAAACATTTATATTTTGATGATGCATTTCTTTTAGCCATTTCATTTCCATTTTATTTTCTCTTGTTAAATAATCAAATGGATTATTTGAATTTTTTTTATTAAATTTTAAAACTTTAAAACTAACTAATACACCTCTATAGGAAATTTCATAATCTTCTTTTGAACTTAATGCATCACTATTATTTGTTGTTGAATCTTTTTCACGTATTATATAATCATCGGATAATGTAACAATACTATCACAGCTTGATGATGATGATGATGTTATATGTTTACATTTTTGTACAACACTTACATCATCACGTGATATTTTCCATAAAAGACCATCAATTTCCTGTTCATATTTCCAGCCACGATATGTTATTATTATGATGATTAATGTAGCAACAAATATAGCCATTAATATGGCTGTTATTATTTCACGAATTTTTTCCTCTTTACTTTTATCACAGGCAGAATCATCAAAACCACATGGTGGTTCATCTAACGGTACATGACCGGGTCTTATCCAATCGATTGGATGTGTTGGAACGAATGAAATTTTTTCTGCATTTTTTGATGTTGAATCATATTCAAACATTCCAACCGGTCGTAATCGTATTGGTGGACGTGAATTTTCATTAATCGAACGTTTTGTTTTAGTTGTTTCATTAATTGTTGTTTGATTGTTGATCGAATCAAATGCTATTGGTTGAAGAACAGTATAATTGCCTTGAACATCACCATTTTGATCGATATTCATCCATGCACCTGTTATCGATTGATATCTTCGTCTGGCAATAATTTTTTCTACAATTTTCTTTCCATCATATTCGGTTAGTCCTTCTTTGAAAACCTGAATTTCGAGAAAAAAAAAACAATTATGGTTATTTTTTTCAATGTCAATAAAACGAAATTCTGATAATCATTATGCAATGTAAATGAATTTAAATTTACCTGTGATAATGCTTCAGCATAAAGCATAACAGCATCAAATAAATATGCAGCATAATGTGTAATATGACGTTTTAAAAACATTGAATCACGTAAACAAAATGGTGGTAAATTATTATATTTACGAACTTGATTAACAAAATTTTCATAATTTGGTGATGGTGGATAGCTACGACTTATGATCAATAATGATCTAGTTGCTTCTTTTATTGCTTTAAATTCATGTTCAAGTAGATCATTACGTTGATCAAATGTATATGAAAGATCATTATTTACATAATGTTCATCTAATTCAACTGAAATAACAACATAATCACCATTCTCTAATAATCCTCTTGATTTTAATGTTAATAAAAAACGAGTCAATAATCTTGGATCACCAATAAATACATATATACGAGTATGTTTATATGTTTTTTCCACTAAATCAATCCATATTTTACTACAACATTGTTTCTGTTCAACACAACATTCATAATCATCAAATGGATAATCAACTGTAACTTCAAATTCATTTTCAGCTGCTAATGATCGTAATGTTGATACAACTGGTGCAATTTTTTCAAAACTATTATACCAAACAATACCGAATTTTTGCCATTGAAAATATTGTAATAATGCTAACACTGAACGTGCAACAATTACATCGGGTGGATGAGTACGTGCAAATGTTGGGAAAAAAGCTTTATTTGATACGGCTGAACTAACACATTTATAAGAGATCATTGGTAAATTTAATGCAGCCGCAATTGTTGCTTCAACTTCACAGGTATCTTCTGGACCAAAAAATGCAACCGCTCCTGAACGCCATTGCCAAATAACAGCAGCCGTTCCATTGATTGATATGGCCGCTGTATCATTATATAATAATTTCAATTGACGACCACCTAATAATTCGGATCGATTTTTATTAATAACATCAATAGCATATGAAATAGCACCAGATATAACAATTCCTTGTCGACTAAAGCTATGTCTTCCATAAAAATTTGCTAAATAACCAATTATAATTGGTAATTTTTCCGATTTTGATGATAATAATGTATTATTTTTATTATTTTGATGATGATGATTTAAATAATGATCACCCAAACGTAGATCAGCAGAAAAACCAGCATTAAGTGCTATTGATTTTGATTGTTGGTCATTGCTACAAGTCAATGATGATGATGATGATGATGATAAATGTTGAGCATTTGTTGATGTTAAAATGAATAAAAAAAATAATGATATGATTATTATGCAATAGCCAAACAAAAACCGATAGCCAAAATTATTTTGATTTTTATTCCATTGATAGTTGAATGATCTAACATTATGATCATTATTTCTTTGTATGAACAAAGATTTGTTTGAATATAATTGTCCGTTGAGGCTATTAAATAATAAAAAAAAAGAAAAATAAAAAAAAGAAAGTGAGAACAAAATAAACAGAAAAATCGAAAAATTCAATTTTCAATCACATGAGCAATCTGTAATTAATTTAATATCGATCGATCGATCGATTGATCCAAGATGAACAAACAGACAGACAGACAGATAGATAGATAGAAAAAACACAATAACAACAGATTCATTTCAATTATCTTGTCAGATTAAAATACGAAAGAAAGAAAAAAGTACGAATCAAATTCTTTATATGTAAACAAATCCTAAATTAAATGATGATCCCGAAAAAGAAATCAATATCAAACGAAAAAAAATATAGACAAAATTAACACTGTCAGGATTGTTGTCAATATAAAATGATGATTTTCTTAAATTCATTCATTTTGTGTGTATACGAAAATGTCAAAAATGTACGAAAAATTCTAATGTGAAAATTTGAAATTCAATTCAATCCAACTGATTTGTTTATTGGTTTGTTTTTGTTTTTTTGTTTCTGTTGAAATGTTTTCATTATTATCATTGTAATATATGATGTGAAAGCAAAGAAAAAATACTTTGTTTTAATTATATAATTTGTTTGTTTGTTTGTTTTTAAAATAATTATATTGAAAGGGTTTTGGTACAAACAAAGTCATTTTATCTAATAAAATGAAACCCAAATTATTTAATGATGATGGTCACATGTCCACACCGAATACACTAACCGAAATTTGTTATTAAAATAAAACATACAGAGAGAAAAACATTAATCAAACACACACAATATTTACGTCAAAATAAATGATGACGATTGAAATTAAACTAATATAACGATCAATCCATTCGATCGTAATAAATTTATTTTCTCATTTCGATATTGATATATAGACCGATCAACATATGGATCGTATTGACAACAACAAGATGGGAAAACAACATTGAAATCGATCTGTTTCATGGCAAAAATTTTTGTTGTGTGTGTTTTTGGTCTGCCTGTTTTTATTGACAAAAAATTAAAATTGATCTGAACAATTTGTCAACAACAACAGGGAATGTCATTGAATTTGACATTCTCATTCCAAGATATTGTGCATCTCAATTGGCCATTTGTAATATCGAATATTGGTTTTTTGTTTTTGTTTTTAGATGAAGGAATGAAAGGGGGAAAAAAATTCCAAATAAACACATACCATTTGGTCTTCATCGATACGATTGTCGTTGTCGTAGTATTGTGGATTGTTTTTGGTTGATTGATTTTTTTTTTTGTTGATTATATTAGATTTTGATTAGGAGAAAAAACAAAATGATTGAAGATTTTTTTTTCTGAATTAAAATTTCCAATCAAAAAATTGTTGAATAATTTACGAAAAATGGTCAATTTTTGTATCATTATTTAGATTGATTAATTTGTCTTAGTCTTCGCCGTTGTAGTCATTATTATTGTGATATTTTGATTGCGAACAAAAAAAATGATATGCAATTGATAAAAACGGCAGTCAGACGCGTTGATGTTGATGATGAAATTTCATCTCAAAAACAAAACATAAATATCATCAATCGGTCGAATATTGAATCGATGATGATCAAGTTTTACATTTCATTTCATACGAATCTGACAAACAAACAGAAAAAAAATATTCTGATGATTTTGGTCAACAAATTTAAATATAAAAAACATTTTTTGCTGAATTCACAGTGTTTGGAACCAAAAGAAAAAACAGTTATTTTTTCTTTTCTCGGTGCATATGGTCTGATTGATTGGTGCAGATTTTCATTTGGTTCGTCGGACAATTTGACAAACAAACAGAAAAAAATGAAACGAAAAATCAAATTGAATGAACAAAAAAAAAGAAACTTCTTCACACACTATTGATGATGATGATGATCATCATCATTTCTTATTATCATTATCATCATCATCATCATCATAAATGTTATCCAATATATTTTTTCATATGTATCTATCTATCGAATGTGTTCTTGTCGTTCTTATGTTGTTGTTGTTGTTGTTAAGAAAATCAATGAAGAAAAAGAAATGAAAAAGTTTGTCGACGACAACGACAACGATGAATGGTGATAATCATCATCATCATCATCATTATCCATAATCAATCAATATTGAAAGAAATTAATGTAGATACTGGATGGGATGTTAATATTGATGGATGGATGCTGAATGATGAATTTTTTTTTCTTTCTTTCTTGCTATTTTCGTCGACACAAATAATTTTTTGTTGTTGTTGTTGTTTTGCTGATAAATCTTTCTTGAGATGATTATTGAATAAAAATATAATTTTTATCGAACAAAGTTCAATCAATCAATTGATTTTTGTTGTTTGATTGATTGATTTAAATCAAATAATGATGATATGATGATTCTGTCTGTCGTTGTAGTTGTTTTTGGATTGTTTCAAAAAAAAATATTGATGATGACATGAATATGCTGGTTATCGTTTCTTCTCAATATTCAACAGAAAAAAAAACATCCAGATGATGATGATGAGGTGAAAAAGAAAAAGAAGAAAAAAGAAAAATGAAAATGTGGAGATCTTTAAATCCACACAACAGGTACAATGTTTGTTTGTTTTGTTTTGTTGATAAAAATAATAATCCTCTTCGATGTTCTTCTTCTTCGTTTTCTTCGTATAATCAGATGTTGTGGTGGTTGTTGTTAAGACTTGTTGCTACTTGTTGTTGTTGTTGAAAAATTCAATTTGATTTTTTTGCTTAGATATTTAAGCAAAACACAGGCAAACACAGGACATACACAAACTCTTCGAAAAGCAAAGTATACAGTGGATTGAATAACGAATGAATGAATGAATGAAGATATCATTTACCAAAATGGATGCATTCATGTGTGTGTGTATGTGTGTATCCAAAACATCTAGCTGCTAAAATGATGATGATTTGCTTTGCTTCTTTCTTTCTTTCTTGGCTGTTATTGTTGATAATCAGACCACCAAAAAAAAACATATTTCCTATACAAAACTTTGTAACAAAAAAAGATTTATTATATAAGATAGATAGACGTTGTTTCTTAACACTTTTTTTTCTCGAAGATGATAACTTTGAACATCAAGATTGATTAGATGATAGAAGATGAAAAGTATATGGATATAAACAGATTCAACAAATGAATCAATCAATGAATCAATCTGATTGAATCCAAAATCGAAATTGTATTTTTTTTTATCACATCACACACACACATATAATACACACGCGATCGCATACAATACACATTTATGAGAGAAAAAAAAAATGAAATGAAATGAAATTGAAAAACAGACAACCAACCAAATGTAATACGGATCATCACTTAGCTTAGCTTATAAAATTTTTGCTACTATTCCATCATCAACAATATCATCATCATTTATATTCGCGCGCGGGTATTATAATATAATTTTGATTCGTCGGATAATCAAAAAAGGGCGCAATCGTATTTTTTTTTTGTGCAGTTTTGATTGTGTTACGGATATTTTGTTTTGTGTTGTGTGTTTGTAAAAGCTATCATCAACAATAACAACGACAATAACAACGAAAATAACAAGGAACAGAACAAACATTGTTACCACATGATCATCATAATGTTGATGGCTAAGGGCAACAACAACAACAACAACAACAAATATACCAAAACAGAATGGAATAACTCAATTTACAACTCTCTCTGTTAACGTCACCACCATCATCATAAAACAAATACGAAACAAGAGAGATATACAACCAAACCAAAAACAAACCAAACCAAACTAACAAAAATAAAAAACAAACGTAATACGATGATGAAATGAAGTGTTTATAAAGATTTTTTTTATTTCTGGTTGTTGATGATGATTCATGATAATGGTAGCTATTTGAATAACACAGTAAACAATATATTGATTGGTGGTGATTGTTTTAATTGCATATATGCAACAAGTTGTTGTTCTTGTTGTTGTAAATGTTATGTTGGTTGATCAAATTTATTCGACGAAAAAAAAAATAGAATTTTTAACAAATTAAGAAACCGAAAACCTGACATTGATCGTAGAAATCAGTAATTTTGTTTTTGACCATCGGTAAAAGTATCAGATAAGAATGTACAAAACAATTTAAACATAAAACAACATTTATTCATGTTTTCACTAGATGTTGCCAGTTTGTTTGTTTGTTTGTTTGTTTGTTTGTTACCTAATATGGGTGGTTTGAATATTATCGATAATGATGATGATGATGATAATGACATAACATAAAACAAGAAATGAATGAATGAACAAGGTGTATGACAGGTCAATAATCATCATACCTAAAATGACTAAACCAATATTAGAATGAAGAACATCGATACCAGTGTAAACCCGTTAAATCAAGGAAGCAAACAAAACAAAAAACAGACATAGAATATCAGATGGATAAATCCTTGAAAAAGATTTGTTCCAAAAAAAAAGATTATACATCCGCAAAATAATAACTGTAAAATAGTTTTGGAATGATAAAATAATCGAAATACTATCGATATTGACGTTCATCTCGTTCGATATTATTTGTTGTTGTTTATATGCTTCCAAAATTTTTTTATTATTTTCCATGCTTCTTCTTGAAATCGCGTAACTCATTATTTTTTTGTTATCCTGCAAGTTTTCTTTTTGGATTTTGTTTTGTTTTCATTATTATTTTTAGCATCAAAACAAAAAAAAATATTTTATTGATTTGATCATTTGAAGATAATATTTTAATAATTATCATTTCTATTGAATGATTATTTAAAAATATAAATGTTACATGAGCATGAATCAACAACAACAACAATATCAACAAGTCACGACAGTGACAAATCGAATCTATTCAAATTCGTATTCGTATCAGTCATCATCATCACCAAACAGACATAATAATGTTTTCATACCGGGAAGAGGACCAGTTAATCAAACTCAACCATCAATGTATATGAATAATGCAAGACAATCATGGCCGATGCAAAACGGATCGAATGTTGTTGGTCAACAATTCTTTTCATCATCATCGAATTCATATTATAATCCGACAATAGATAATCAACAACCACCATTTACTTCTGCTAATGTGAATAATTATTATGGTTCACGTTCATATGGTTCGTATGGTCCGATGCAAGTTGCCCAACATCCTTATCAAAATCGATTTCCCGAAACAATGAATCGACCAAATGTTTCTTATTATTCCCCAGTTCAATCGATTCATACAATGATGCCAAGAAATCGTACTCAACTGCACCAACAACAACAACTCAACCTACAACCGAATCCTTTACAATATAATGCCCGAATGTTACGAATAGAAAATCGATATCCAAGAGGACAATTCATCGAGCAACAAGTGCGAGTGTGGCCAATGATGAATATTGATCGAAATATTGTTCAACGAGAAAATTTTTATAAATTTGGAAATGATGTTCATTTACGTCAGGTATTAAATGTTCCTAGTCAAACAATTGATGAAAATATTGTCGAACGAACGAAGCCAGTAATTCGAAAGATTCGTAAAATAACCAATATAGGTTCAATAGATATGAAAAAAATACTTATGAGTCTAGAATCCGGATTACTGGCTGAAACAACTTGGGCGCTTGATTGTCTTCATATAATGTCAAGCAATGGTCATTTACAATTGCGGCCAAATTTGTCCAACCGTTTAGTTGAATATTACAAATGTTTTTTAGATGCAATCTTTGATGATCTTTTTGTTGATACTGAAATTGATTATCAGCTTAAAATGATGCCGAATGATGATGGTGATAATGATAAGTCAAATATTAATCATTCATTAATGTTAAAGTCAAAAAAATTAATTGAAACGAATGATCGTATAAATCTGCTTGATTCGACAAATTATACATTCCGATCGAGAAATGGTTTACCGGTCAAATTGAAAGAAGATGTAGATCTTAATGAAAATTTTCTCAATCAATTGGAACAAGATTGGCTTGATGTTTTTTGCGATCATCAATATCTACAGAATGGTAATACTAAAAGTACGGCTCATATTATTCGAACAATGAATCCGACACATGAAATTGTTCCATTTATTAGACCAATTATCGATAAACAACAACAAGTTGGGAATTCAGTAAAACAAAATACATGTTTTTTAGCGAAAAAACGTAAACATGAACTGGATGATGATGATGATGAAGCTGAAACATTCGGAATGATTTCAACATTATGTCCTCGTCTTGAATCTTATGAATCTATGTTGAAACGATGTTTATGCATATCGAGTATCATACGTAATGCATCATTTTCGATAACAAATAGTCGTTTGATGGCTTATGATGCTTCATTATTGTTGGTGATGGCACGTCTTCTTTCCTACAATCATAAACATGGTGAAAAGAAAACATTCAGAATGGTTTGGAATGCAGCAAATAATCCGAATAATAAGGACAAAAAAGATAAAGAAAATGAAAATGAATTATGTTTCGATGATTTTTCTTTCGAAACATTACATATGATTCGTATGAATACATTGGTTACTTTGTCTAATCTTAGTGAACATCTTGATCTTTGTCAATATTCAGACAAAATTATTCTACCATTATTGGATGGTCTACTTCATTGGGTAGTATGTCAATCATCATATGCTCGTGATCCATTACCACCAGATAATCTTTCCTGTAATATACAAGCATTAGAAATCATAGCTAAACTAAGTATTCATCAATCAAATATTGATCTCATATTAGCTACACCACCATTCGATCGAATTGAAAAAATGTATCAAGTATTAGTTGAATCGATTTCTCGAATTGATGATCAAGTTCTACAAGAATTATCATTGGTTGTGTTGGCACATTTTTCAAATGGTGATGTATTGAGCGCAAGAATTATTCTTCACGTTGATTTAGTCATCAACAATTTGTTGTTGTTTATCGAACAAAATGAATTTCACAATAGAATTAATGGCATATGTCCAGCACGGATTGCAACAGTACAACAACAACAACATTCTGATTCCAATAATTATATTGTTCTATTAGCTGCTCGTACATTGCGTGCATTAGCATCGGCTTGTGAACCACAAGATTCATATCTATTTTTTAAATATGAAACACGATTTGTTGATCTTATCATGTCGATATTTCTTGATACAAATATAAGCCAGATTTTAGCCGATCTAATGTTCATATTATCAAATGGTAAATCTGTATTTCATTCGAAATAATTTATTTGTAATTATTATTATTATATAATAATGATGATGAATAACAATAACAAACGACAACAACAGCAACAACAATAACAAAAAAAACATTGATGATGATTGATTGGATTTTCACAAATAAAAAAAAAATGATTAAAAAAAATAAAACAATCAACATTTGAAAAAAACACATGTGACTATATATATCTCTTTTGTTTTGTTTTGTTTTGTTTGAAATAAAATAATCCGATTCATTCTTGATGAGAAACAAGATTTGAGATTCGCAAATAAATCAATTTTTGCTGCTGTTGTTTGCTGCTATTTACCTTTAATATAATGAGATAATGGTAAGTGTGTGTGTGTGTGTGAGTGTGAAAATGTGACAATGAATAAATGTAGAAAGACCAGATAAGATTTGTCACCATTGTACACCTTGTTTTGTTATAAATGTTAAGAATGGATTGGATGGATGGATGGATGAATGGATGGAATGATAGGAGATTGTGGATTATATTTACATGGTTTTTTTTGGCATCAAAAGGTGGTCTCAATATAATAATAAACAATCTCTCAAAATTGAATTATGGCGTTTTTTAGTTTTTGATGATAATAATAATGATGATTGAATTGAAATTGATCTCACTTTGAATGACTATGTTTACGTCGGCCAAAGAATCTTTTTGGTCGATTCTTTAACGGATGTAATACGGCTAGATCACTAAGAATATATTTTCTACATTTATCCGTACATCTTTCATCTTTTTTCACATCACTATGACGATAGTAAAGATTTTTAAATTCATTAAATAATTTATCATCTGTATGTAATTTGATTGATAAATTATGCCAACTATCTGGACTCATATCATCAAGACCAAATTTTTCCACTGCACGATATTCATGTTTCCATTGTGGTCCACGATTATTATGATTTGCTTCAGTTAGATTAAAATAAAATGTTTCATGATCATTAAGTATACCACTATCTTCCATATAATAAAGTCGATATGCTGGATTATTTTCAGTGAATGGTGTTATGCTTGGACCAATATATGCTAAACCGATTGGTACTTCATGATGTCCAGGTGAATAGAATAGCCGATATTCATCACGATGAGTGTGGCCATAATATTGTGCCAAAATAGTCTCATTAAATCGATCGATAATTCGAAGAAAATTATATAACCATGCTTGTGTACATTCTCTGTTATCCGGTGGTATATGACCAATAATATGTACTTTATCGCCAACTTTTTCCGCTTTATGTAATTCATCACTTAGCCATTTTAATTGATTAGCCGGATCAACTGGATTGTAAAGACTCCATGGATTTAATCTTGCGCAATAATTTGTATTGATACAAATGACTCGCATATTGGATCGAGGTTTTACCATATAATATCCACCACTAGACAAAGATAGATAAAAAATGATAGTAAATAAAATGGAAAACAAATCAAATTGAAATTACTATCGTAATGTTTGTAGAGCGTCATCCGGTAACCAGAATGCCCATTCTTCAGCCACAGAATCATATAACCAACTAATGGAATTTATTCCTTTAATTTCAGGAGGAGGAAAACTGTGTTTGAAAAAAAAGAAGAAAAGAGAAAAAGAGATAAGGATATCAATGAAGAGGAGAAAAAAACTTAATAGAAATGAATTTTGAATGGTCATCATTGTCCTGTCAATCAAGCCTATTTTAGGTCGGATTTTTTTTCTGCTTTCATCCCGTTTTGATCGAATCAAAAAAAATGCTGTTGCTGCTGCTGATATAAACACATTCACTTTATGATCAAAGCTACCGCTTGTATACATAAAATCATAAATATTATACGGCAAGGATTTGTTCGATGGATGGTTTTTGGATCGGTCGGGTATTTATAAATCAACCAATCACCATCATCACATGAAATGTATACCATCATCATCATCATCATCATCATTTCCAAAAATAATGATAAAACTCTTTTGATTGAACATTTGTCAAAGCCAAATGTTTACACAAAAACACTACATAACTGATGACGTTATGACTATCGATCGATTGAATTGTGGCCCCTTCGCGCCCAAATGATGATGATGATGATGATGATGATAAAAAAATGATGATTGAAACCCGTTTGACCAGCAAACACGTAATTTGTTACACAGTCAAATAAATTTCTTTTTTTTTCTCATCATAATAGCCTGATGGCTAGCTTAGCTTATTCAACATTCAGATCATCAATCAATCAATCAACCAATCAATCGATTGGATATAGTAAGTGATGTAAGTGTGTGAACAAAATCGAAATCAAAAATATGATCAGAAAAAAAAAACAAACAAACAAACAAACCTGTTGACTGGTACACCTTCATGATTGCCAATAACTGGATATACTGGAACACGGGCATATTGTTTAATTAGATTTGTTACCAATTTCATTTGTGAAATAACTTCTTGTTTAGTTACATTCCATATATCATGTGGTGCAACATCACCTGTCCAAATCCAATATTCGGCCTATATTCGGCAAGTATACCGGGGAATGAAACAGTAAAAAAAAATTGAATCGAATATCAATGGAATAATAAAAAAAAATCAATTAATAAATATACAAACATCGGAATGCATTTCATTGATATGTTTAAGTACATGTCTTAATGTTTGTACTGGTGTATCACAATTACGATAATCACCCCAAATTCCAGCTGAACGATCTTTATTTTTAGCTTGACCATTTGTTGAACGACAACATAATGGTTCACCACAACTTGCTTCAGATCCTGGTTCATAATATGGATCAACATGAATATCCGTTATTTGTACTAATTTACTAAGACTTTTATATGCAGATGATAATGATGATGATGATGATGATGATGATGATGATGATGATGAATCTTTATAATCAATAAATTCATTATTTTCAATACCAGTATCTGTATTACTCATTAAATTATTATCAGTACGTTTAACATTATTTGATGAATATCGATGATGATGATGATGATGATTATAATATTTTTTTTCCGGTATTGTTATTGTCCAATTAAGATTTTTAGTTATTTTACGTGCACAATCCATACCGAATATTACACCACACATTTCACCATGTTTAAGTGTTGTATGTGTACGTATATAATCAAGATCATCCTATAGTTTTGAGGTAACAAAAAAAAAAATCAATTAGTTGGATTCTATTTGATGGCCTTATTTTTTTAAAATAGAAATATTCATTGATTTTTTTTTTGTAAAGTGTTTTTTGTTTTTAACATTTAAAGATAAGAAAGGCTACATGCATGCATGAATGAAAAAAAACGCGTGTTCCTCAAATAAAGTTGTCATGTGTTTGGCGGAAGTAATTGCCAAAATAAAATTATTTAAAAAAAAAACTTGAACATCACTCTAGGCAACAACTGACTGACTGACTGACTGATTATTATTATTTCTATGTGATCATGTAAATGGATTTGGCCAAGCTGAACAAGTTCTGGATTTTATTTTCATTCATTCATTCATTCATCAAACAAACAAAAAAATTGGTTAGTAATTTTACATTGTTTTGTTGTTGTTGTTGTTATGGGCCATTTCTCTCTACCAAAAAAAAATTTGACAAGGCTCACTAATCAACCAAATCTTAGGTTAAAATGGTCATTTTCATTTTCATTTTCATTTTCTTCTTCTTCTCTTAATCACACCAAGTAATTATTATTATTGGTGAGGGAAAAATTTATAACCCCGACAGGTAGTTGGGGGAAAAAGCTATCACTACTACCACCAATAATTTTTTTTTTGTGATCAAATGCCATTCAAAAAAACAAAAAAACAAAAATCTAGATTAAAGATGCTATTCAGAATTACTTTCTCTTTTTTTTTTGTTTTGTTTCTCACTTTTGGACTTTCTCTGTATTTTCACAAAACATCAGGATTGATTTTTTTTTTTGATGAATGATGAGGATAGCCATCCATGTTCAATCACTGACCTATTTATCTTACATAACTAAATTTTTTTCTGTATGTGTTTTTTGCTTACCAAGAGTAAAAGAGATGACACTCGAACATTGAAACCTTTTTCCGGTATAGATATTTTTCTTTTTCTTCTTCTTTCATTTTACTATAACAACATTAGGCTGATTTGTTCTACCTATGGATGAATCAAAGAAATGAAAATCACTTTCATTTTCTCTTCATTCATCCATCTATCTCTCTCTCTTTTTTTTCTTACATTTTGTTAAAGATATTGGGTTAGATGAATGGCCACTTTTTTTCTTTGCTTATTTACTTCTAATGATATTCATCATTCGCTTGACTTGACTGAGAATGTCATGTAAAAGTGAACGAAGAAGAAGAAGAAAGTACAAAAATTTATCTGACAGGAAACAAAAATTAACTTTTTGGCAAACAAACAAAACCACCAAAATGGATTTATTTTAATGAAAAAAACAAACTAGGAAATTTATCTAAATCCATTCGACAAAAAATTATGGATTCTAAAATGCCCTGAAAAGCTTTCTTGATTGGTTACATTTGATTTGTTTGGTATTTTCAATCAACTTTTTCACTGTTATTGTTATTTCAATGTCAAATTGCAAAAAAAAAATAAATTATTTTCAAATTTACCTTGAATGAATCAACAATTCCTGAACAAACTCTTGGTGTTTGTAAACGAAATGACATACAAACAGTATTGACAGCCATTGTCATCATTTCTTTTGAATAAACTGGACTAAGAAATAAACCTGCTAATGCATTACATGCCCAACATGATGCTCTTGATGATATACCGTTTCGCATTTGTGAACTAAGCTAGATGTAGAAAATGAAATTAAATATATTAATATAAAAAAAAGTCAATTGTCAATCAAATATTTACATATTTTAAATACAAAAAAAAACAATAAAACAATGAGGGCAAATCAATTTTTTTTTCTTCCAAAAAAAAAATTGATAATGGCTTTCAATTGAACAATTTACATTCATTCATTCATTTATTTATCAACAACAATGCCTTTCGGTAAAACTTTCGATTGTCATGGCCTGTTATCGTCGCCCTTTGTTTTTTGTTTTTTTTTTGTTTGTTCCTCACTTCATTTTATGTAAATTACATTTGTTGTTTACTTCCTTCTTACTATAGTAAATGAATGTCACGAATTGCGGATTTTTTGGTTTTTGTTTTTTTTGTTGGAAATGAAAACATGATTCCAATAAGATGATGATGATAATGATGACAATGCTATCATGTCCACCCACAAACACACCTTATAACCTTCAACTTAGATAATTGATTAAAAAATCTTACCTCAGTAAAATTAACCGATTTAAGCATTCTTGATAAAATATTAACAAGAAAACGTTTACGTCGTTTATTCGATATTTTACTATTCTGTGAATTAATATCATCAATTATATGTTGTATACTTTTAGCATTTGAACTAGCTTGTTGTTGTTGTTGTTGTAGATTCGATTTTGATGATTGTTGTTGTTGTTGTTGTTGTTGTTGCTGTTTGTTAATGTTATTCGTTGACAATTGATTTGTGACAACAGTTGATTTTCCATTATCTTTAATACGTTGTGATTGAAATGATGGTGTTGAATATGATGATGATTGAATTGATTCAAATGATCCAATTAATATTTCTGAATCATCTTTATTGATCATTAAATCACGTGAACTACGATCAGATACAAATTGTGATACTAATGCACGTAATATTGGAAATTTACGTACTTGATCACTACGTTGATCATTATTATTATTATTATTATTATTATTATTATTAACACTTGATGATGATTGTTGTTGTTGTTGTTTTGTAATAGAACTTGAATAACGTGATGATGAAGTACCGGAAACATTATTAGCTTGTACTATTATACAGCTATACCATGTAGCAATAATAATAGTAACAAGTATTGAATAGGTAAATATACGTATACTATCATGGCGCATTATGGATCTCATATCAATATTATTGGCGCCAGAATCAATAAATGTTATCATTGGATAATAATACCACATTTAGATAAAATCAATGAATGAATGAATAAATAAATAAATTTATGTAAAAAATAAAAAATAAACTATTTCGACACAATTGTCATCTGTCCATTTGACCAGATAATGATGGATGTAATGAAGGAAATGTAATAATGATTCACACATTCACGAATTTTTCATTTGTTTTGTTTTTGTTTTCCGTTGTTTTTGTTGTTGTTGTTGTTGGTGGTGGTGGTGGTGGCAATGGTAACCGATGGCGTCAGCTCGTTAAAGACACTGGCCACAAAATAATAATAATAATATTTAAGTAGACTGTTGTTGTTGTTGTTGTTGTTTTATTCGTTGATTAATCCGTAGAGCGAGAAAACCTACAACAACAAACAAACAAACAAACAAATGAAAAACAACAAATGAAAAAAAAACTGAATCAAAAGGAAAAAAAATTGAGTCAAAAGACAGGTAGATAGGAAAAATACTCTCTTTTAGACAACGTAAAATAGAAGAAGAAGAAGAAGAAGAAAAAAAAATTAAATTATGATACTTGGGTATAAAGATTTTCTGATTTTTTTTCTCCCACTCCCCAAATCACCATCATCATTATATACTTACAGTATGTTTGTTTTCATCAAAAAGTAAAAGTGTCTTGAAGGAAACAAGAAAACAGACTGACAAAACAACAACACTATTTGAATAGATCAGATGTGTTCAACATTCAAAACAACAACAACAACAACAAGATCATCAATAAAAAAAAAATAAATATGGTCGACCGGAAAGCTGCTATTAGAACATCATCATCAAATGTTCAAAAGTCAGATGATATGGTCATAATGTGTTTTTTTATATATTTGTTTGATTATGAATTTCGTTCGTTCCGAGATAGAGAGATTGATGATGAAAATGATGATGTTTTTTTTTTCTTTCTTTTCTGAAATGAAAAGAGCCAAATTAAATTTTTTAGAGACATACAAAATTGGACAAGAGTAACAGGTTAAGAAAATTAAAAAAGAAAATGAAAATAAACAAAACAAAACAAACAAAATCAATATAACCTTATAGCAAAATAATTTGATTTTTTTTTTGTTCATTAAAAAAAATATATTCATTAGATCTGGTCAGCTGATCAGTTTTTTTTTAAAGAAATTAATAGTAAATTTTAGTTTGATGATTGATTTGTCGGATACGGAGACAATATGAATTGAAAGAAACAATGAAATAGGATACTGAAAAATTCACTTTTTCTTTATTCAATATGATCGATTTACAGAAATGACAAATGCAAAATTAACAAACAAAAAATTATTTAAATTTCATTCTTGTGAATCAACAATCATTGATTTGGAAACAAGTTGCTGTCTTTGTTGTCGACGTTCGGATAATGTTTTTCGTATCAATGTCACTGTTGAATCAAAATCACAATTTAATTTTCGTAATAAATTTTGATGTAATGATTCGCCGGCATTTACAATCGATGTATCAATTATGCTTAAACTATTTGGTAATTGTTTTTGATCAAAGTGTTGCTGTTCACTAGGCAAATACGTCATTGGTGCCGATGGAAATTGTTGACGAATACGTTTTCTTTTTACACGTCTGATTTCTCGAAGCCATCTTTGAAAATATTTACGCATTAAGCCAGAATTATCGTTATTTTTTATCATTCCATTCATTGATGATAAGAAACGTTTATTTGTTTCGTTTTGCTGTAAATCGTTTGGCGATGTAGAATAAGCAAGTTTTCGTTTAAATGAATCATTCATTTTAATGTAATTATCATCAATCAATGTAATGTTATTCAGGAAAAGATCTTCATATTGTTCATCATCAAATTTATCATTATGGACAGTTTGTATGATTTTGATTGGTGCTGCCGGGAATGTTTCTCGATAAAAATTATATCGTTTACGTTGTCGATAATAATGAAACCATTTATTTAAATATTTTCGTTGAATAAAATGATGTCGCCATTGTTTTATTCGTTCATCTTGTCTACGAAGTTCATCATTGATTGCCGATTCGATTTCCGAACGTGCAATTACAGTCAACATTTCCTCGAATAAATTGTTGGCAAATGATGAAATATTTCGACGTAACAAATCTATTTTGATAACATGATCGGTATATACTTTTTTACAGGTTGATCTGATTATCGAAATTATAAGGCTATTTAATGTATTCTTTGAAACTTGAATCATAACATTTTTTAGCTGTTTCTGTCGAGTAATCGTTTTGACTGCTGTATTATGTATTTGTCCAGCAATCAATTGATTGTATATTCTTTCAGATTCTCGAATCGTCATTTTCATTCGATTATAGACTTGATTCGTTTGCGAACGTATAATATCTCTTAAAATTGAATCAAAAACTGGATAAATAATTTGAACGATTATTTTTTTTCGATCGATAATATCAACAGGTTTTTCCTGTGGTGTCGGAATAGAAGCAACTTGAAATGGTATATTCGAATCGAATGTTTGAATCTGTGGAAATCGAAAAGAAACTGTATCGTTAGTTTTAAAAATATTTTCTTTTGTTGCAAGTTTTTCGATTTGATTTTTAAAAGTAAATCCAGTTGATGTTTGTTGTTGATTGTTGTTTTGTATGATTGATTGTAATTCATTCATTTCACGAATCGGCTGTTGATTATTGGTGATGATGGCACTAGAAATCAAATTATTCTTATCATAAATTAGTTTATCATTTGTGTTGAAACTTGAATGAACAGGTTTAATTTGATATGATTCAAATGACACATTATTGTTTCCAAGTATAGCACGACCGGGTGTTGTATGTAATTTTGCCATAACCAAATTATGTGAACGAGTCATTAAAGTACCACTATCAATACCAATAATATGACTCTTACGAAAATAAACATTATCTTCATCATATTGAAGACCAACTCGATCACAGAAATAAGATAATTCATCAAAATTATCAAATGCTAATATTTCGATTAGATTAGCAACTGGATAGGCAATTGGAATCGATGATTTCGGTACTGAATATGCTCTACGTTGAATATTCAATGCTTTGATACGGAACGGATTCAAATATCGATTAAGTATACAGGATTTGAAAAAATCTGCTCGCCGAACAAAACGAAAGAATTTTACATGATTTCGATTATCATAAGATTGATAAAGTTTGATTGCCAATTGTACGTCGGCCGATTGCTTAACAGATTGTTGAAAATGTTTCAATTCACTTAATGTTTCACCATTACCAAGATTCAATAGAATATCATAGGCACGAAATTCCGGTTCATTATCACAGTATATTCCACGAATGCTAAGATCATAGTAAAAATCTTTTAATGTTTGCAAACAATTATTCAGATTTTCTTCGTTGATTTTCGGATCAAAAGCTTTCATTTCTTGTTCACAAAGATAATAGGCACAGAAAATATGGAATCGAGCACATTGTTCTATTAACGTTACTGATCTAATATCGATTAGATGTTGTTGTGTGATGTCTTTACGAATCGAACGAGTACGACTCCAAATAAAATCAAACCATTCGGCCATGTTTCCATCGATTTCATATCGGTCAACAATCTCCAAACACAGATAATTCATTGTATATTCCAAAACATGGATCGGTCTCAGTTCATGAGCCAAAGGTTCTTCTTGATCAGCGCCTGAACGTCGATATTCTTTCACCATACGACTTTCATCTGGTTTACCATTAGTATCGGCAATCAAATCCATTTCAAAAGGAGATACTTGATTTGTTTCGATACGAAAATATCGTTCCAGTTCAGGACACATATCTGGACATGTTCCAACAACAGCAACAGCTTTAGCCAAATCAGTTTGACGATCCTGACGTAATCGTAATAATTTATCCCGTGCATCCAAAACATTTTTCTTATCCATAAAAGTTATGGCACATTCATTGAGCTTTGATTGAAGTCGTCGTTCTTCTTCACTATCTATTTCCATGTTTAGTTTGTTGAATATAAATGATTGTCAAATGTTTGAAAATTCTAATTCTCAATATTCCATGATCACATGTTATTTTTGTGAGTGAAAAAAGAGCGCCATTCGATTATTCCAAACGATACAATCGATTTTTGATTTTTCAATTGTTTGTTTACGTTATGTTAATAAAGAAAGATAATAACGGTCACAAGTTTTTTTTTAAATTATAGAAATCTGTCGTATGACAATTCATGATTAATATAAAACAAACAGCAACAAAAAAAGGGCTTTTCCAATTTACTACGTCATTTTCAAGGTTAATAATTTTGATTGTATTTATACGTCGGATATATTGTTGGTAGAAATCGTAATATTTGTGATGCGCATTTCATCATATGACTTGGCAATCAGAAAAAAAAGGTGATAATGATATTTAGCTTTATAACTGAAATCCGGATCATCTGCAAAGCATTCCATTAAACTTTTTAAAAACATTAACTTGTGATGATGATTATGATGATTTTTTTTTGTTATAAAAAAGAATAATTCTTCATTATCGAAAGCTCATTCACTCAAAAAAAAACAACTTTAAATTCATTCATTCAACATGAAATCAATTATACCATTAACAACGAATTCGTTGAAAAATTTACGTTCATATTTGAAATCGTTTCCCGATAAAATATATTCAGTAGAAATCAAAATTAAAACTGAAAATGCCTCGCAAAATATCACACCACCAATGGCTGCAGTATCGGTCACAAAAGAAAAAGAACCGTTCAAAGTGAGCTCGGTCACTGAAAACAAAATAATAGATAAAAAATCCAAACAAAAATCATCTAATGATGAATTGTTGTCCGTGAAAAAGTTATCTCAAAACGAAAGAATCGAACGTACCGAGCAATTGGTTCTTTCATTAAAACATTCATGGTCCATAACAACATTGCCGAACGTAATTTCTCTCAACATTCGTTTAAAACAACTTTATGATCATCTTCAAATGTATCCAGAAGCAACAAATGTAGCTGTTCGTAAAAATATTGTTGAAAAATTATTGAAAATAAGGGAATTTTCACAGTTCATGTTGAATGGAAAATCTATATTAGAACGGCTGAAATCACCGAAGCAACAAAATGGTTCTAGTCCACAAATTCTTCATAATTCCAGATCGTTGCATAAAAATTATCATAGATTCGTGAATGAAAATTCACGACAAATACTATCACTGTTAGGACATGCTGATCCACCTAAAGGTCGTGGTATACGAGTATTGAGTATTGATGGTGGTGGAACACGTGGATTATTGGTGATCGAAATATTACGTCAAATCGAACAATCATATGGTCAACCGATACATAAGATATTTGATTTAATTTGTGGTGTAAGTACTGGATCTATTATTGCCATGTTACTTGGAGCATTACGTATTTCGATTGATGAATGTGATTCCTATTATCGACAAGTTAGTTCATATTTATTCAAAACTGATGTTTTTCGTGGTACTAGTCGTTTATTATGGTCACATGCCTATTATGATACAAATGTTTATGAAAAAATTCTCAAACAAATCTATGGTGATACTAAATTGATTCATACGAAAAAAAGTTCTGATTGTCCACACATGATTGCCATATCGGCTATTGTTAATCTACCTACATTAGAACCATATTTGTTTCGAAATTATGAACTTCATCCTTCAGCAAAACCATTAAGTCATTTTGATGGTAGTTCTAAACATAGAATTTGGGAAGCAGTACGAGCTTCATCAGCAGCACCTGGTTATTTTGAAGAATTTACAATTGATAAACATGTTCATCAGGATGGTGGTATATTGTTGAACAATCCTACAGCTGTAGCATTACATGAAGCTAAATTATTATGGCCTAACGAACCAATACAATGTGTTATATCGTTAGGAAGTGGTCGATATCAACCACCATCTAATCGTACAATCGAACTTGACGATAATAATAAAGATGTTACGTTATCCAGTTTAAAGCATAAAATTTTACGACTTATTGATTCTGCAACCGATACTGAAATGATACATCGATTAATGCAGGATATGTTACCAGATCCAGTATATTATCGTATGAATCCAATGCTTACCGATTATTCAACAATCGATGAAAATAGACCAGAAAAATTGGAACAAATGAAACAAGATGCTCAAATTTATCTACGTAAAAATGATCATAAATTTCGTACGGCCATTGAACAACTTAAAATACAACGATCATATTATCAATTGTTCAAGGATCGTATCAATCTACAATCAAAAGTATATCGGCCATTTTAAGATTATTTAGTTGTATAGAATTGTTATCAATAAAATACTTTTTTTTTGAATTATCTTATTTTTTAAACATTTTCATTGAAAAAAAAAACAATTATCTTTACATGTTAATATTAATTTCAAATTTTTTAAAACTATAGTTAGAAATATTTATCAAAGTATAATTTGTGGAGAAAAAAAAACATACAACAACAATTAATAGAAGGGGATGTTTGTCATTATCATTGAATCTTTAATTTCGAATTTTGAGCCATTCGAAGCTGTGTTGATGGCGATGACGATGATGATGATGATGTGGATTGCATTAATGGATTATCACTATGATCAGATTGATCGGATGGCCAATCTGATGCCGGTTGTTTATCATCATCATTATCATCACTATCAATATCATTAATATCATCATAATCTTGATCGAATATTGATCGCATCCATGATGTTTCACAAATTTTTTCCGAAAGATAATTAACTAGTTTATCTTTTTGTCGTTTGAATGGTATTTCATATTCATTCGGTACAATACCGGAAACACCGGATTCAAAAAATGAAAATAATGGAAACCAAATTCTAGTACGATGGCGATCACTTTGATATAAAGCTCGATTATTGGCCAATGTATGATAATAAAGAAATAGACGAGTAGATATATAAAATGCAATGAATACATCAATTGAATAATGTTCATGAGCAGCTAGAATAAAAAATACGCCAAATAGATTAAGTACCCAGGACATTGTATGTATTAGATATAGAGTAGGCGGTGTATCTACAACAAAAATAAAAATAAAATTACATTAAAGAATCCAAAACATTGTTGGAACATACATTCAGTTACGAAAAAATTAAGCATTGTTAATACAACTGTATGGCCACTGAACATATAATCACCGCATGTTCTTACACCTTGTAAAGCCATACCACCACCTTGCCAAATTAGATATGCTTGATGTAAACGTTCAGTCCATGTACCATATGGCTAAAAATTAATTTCAAGATTAATAATTCATCAATATTATCATTGTGTAGAACATTTACCCGTGCTTTGCATTGAAGATGACGACCCGGTACTGATAACGATGTAATGACCATCGTAAAACAACGTATCATAAATACCGAACCAAATAATGAAAACATTCGACGTAAAAGAATAAAGCTAATAAATAAATTAGAAAAAAATAGAATCGTAAGAAATTACATAAGGATGAGAGAAAATTGTTTCATACCGATACTTGTGGAAAATCAAAATTAACGCCCAAATGATAAACAAAATTAGACCACATGTTTCGGCCATACCAAATGCCCATGGTATCAATGGAAGATTATCCAACAATAAATCCGGTAATGGTGGATAAGTATCCATATCGGGTACACGATCATGTACAATAACCATTACGATTGCTGTTACCCATGTTGATGAAAAGAAATAAATTAAAGCGATCAATGCTTTCCATGATTCTTGTCGAACTTCACGACGATGATGATGATGATGGTGATGATGATGACGACGATGTTTACGATGATGTTTTTGATGATTTTTTTCCAACGTTGAATGATTAGAAGTATTTTGATGATTATTATTACGTTGTTGATGATGACTAGAATTTCGATTCTTGACTGTCATCGTTGAAGCTGATGATAATGATTTTGACATATTTGGCTGTTGATTTTGTTGACCAGGATGTGAAATAGCAATCATCTGAGCTAGATCATTGCTCGTTGTTAATTGCGGAACGATACGTACCTGTTGATTATTTCGATATTTTAATTGATTATTTTTGATAAGTGAATGACTTTCATCATCATCATTATCATTTCCATCACAGTCTTCATCAGATCGATTACTTGTTTTCGATGAACTTGATATAAATGATGAAACTGATGATGAACAATTTGATGAAATGGCAAGATTTGTTTGTTCATTCATAACCATTTGATTATTATGTTCATAATCATTATTATTATTAAACATTTGTAAATGTTCAATATTATCACCATGGCTATGCGTTGTTGACGTTTCCATTTCCTGATCATTTTCATTTTTATATGAATTATTTGATGATGTTGTATTTGATGAGGATTCATTCGAAATATTATCCTCTTGATTTTGTTGATGATTATGTTGTTGATGATCTTTTGAATAATTAGAATATCGTTTCGATAATAGATTGTTTGTAGATTTATTGCTTCCATTGGAAAATTTCGTATGCACTAACGAATGTCGATTCGTTGATGAGGAAATGGTTGATTTTATATGATGATTTTTACTAAAATCTTCCGTCAAATTATTTGATGATTTTAAATAAACAGATCGTAGATGATCAAATGCTAAACAAAATCGTTTAATATCACCAAAAATCTGTATATTTAATGGATCTGTACGAAGATCGTCGGCAGTTAGATTGATCAATACACGGCCATCAATACGATGATGATCACAGAATAATTGTCGATAATCACTAAAATCATTCATTTCTAACCAATAACCAACATCCTCTACGGTCCAATCATAGACATTTTTATTATTGTCTAAAATGGTAAAACCATTGTTATATTTTTTGATTGGTTGAATCGATAAGGCACCATTATTATTATTACTATTGATTCGATAATCTATCAATGAATTGATTATTGATTGATGATTCATTTTGATAGATTTATTTTCATTATTTAAACGATCTTTTGGAATGATCATTGATGATGAACGATTTTTACCATGATGAATATAAGGATCATGATTCGTTATTGTTTTCAATGTCATTTCATTTGATGATTTTTGATCATCATCATCAGCATCATTGATGACAGGTGATATATGATCATGTTTTAAGTTTGAAATACATTTCATATCATCATTACCATCATCACAATGTTCATTATTATGATTTTCATATGAAATCATCGTTGTTTTATCATTCGAATTTATGATTGAATTCAATTTATTTTCATTATTACTTGTCGAACTAATGTTTGACATTGTCGCCGTTATTGTATATCAGACATTTATGTATAGAGGTAAAAAAAAATTCTAGAGAAAAAAAAACGTACACTTTGAGGAAAGATTTTTATATTGAAAAAATTAAATTTGATTTAACGATGAGATTAGTCAACGTTGATGAAATTTATCCACATAAATTGATGAAATGAATGAAAAAAAAAGATGAAAATTAGTCATTAATCAATAGTTTATTTTATAAAAATAGTCAAAACTAACCTTATTTTTTTTGGAAAAAAAATAAACACAGAATGACAAGGAAAAAAAAATCGTTACAAATATTTATTCTGTTGATGATGATCACAATAATGAATAGAAATGTTGACTGTATAATTTATTTTGAAATGACCGAAAACAGGACAAAAGTATACGTTGTGAAAATGAAACCAAACAAAAAAACACGTACTTGATCAACAACAAGAAGAAAATTTCGATGATTTCTTCGTGTTTGTTCAATGAATCAAAACGAGGTCGTTGATTGTTTTTTTTTCGTTCTTTCTCTTCAACAAAAACTCTCTCTTTATCGAAGTAAATCTACAAAAAAAATTTTAAACTTTCTCTTTTTTTTCTACCTGAAACGATTGAAGTTGTTTGTTTGTAGATAATTGATTGAAGATAAATTGAAATTTGTTAGTTAGTTCCGTTCATGTGTCATGTAATTGTGACATTGATGAGTCATCAAAAGTTTTTTCGCTGTAAAATTCAATAATGATAATCGATGATGGTTAATAATCAAACTAATGAATTGATCACAAAAAAAATATCACTGAAAATATAAATGAATCGATTAGAAATTTAGGATGAAAAAATTCCAATGACAACCACACCAACAAACAAATGAAAGCATGGAATCTGATGATAAGTTTATTGCATATTTGTCGAGTTGAGCAATGATAAAAAACGATTTTTTGATTGGTATTTGATCAATGCAATTGTGCTTGATTTATTACGTCATAAAATCAATCGATTACCACGAAAAAAAAAATTCGATGATGACAATCACCAATGATGTAATCTTTTTTGGTTCTCACGAATGTTATTTTTATAATACAAATATTAAAAAAACTTGTCAATAAAACCAATGGAATATCTTTAATGTTGATTTCTTTTCATATTCTTTTTTTTTACCAACAGGTTACCTTGACGATAATATTGATTTTTTTGAAGAAATTTTCTTTTTAAAACAAACAAAACTTGTTATGAATTGTTGCCATTTTATATTCATTTATTTATCGAACGGAAAAGTTCTATTAAAAAAAATTTCGTACAGGAAACATTGAAATAATTTGATTAAAATGAAAAAAAGAACAAAGAAATTCTCATGGCCATTTCGGTTTGGTTCGTTTTTCTCTATCAACAAACCATCCGTAACCATTGACAAGAAATATCGTTTTGTTAAGTTTTTTTTTGTGTCCGTTGATTAAAAAACAAACAAATTAACATTTTCAAGGTTTTTGTAAAAAAAAAGAAAAGATAAACAAATCAATGTTTACAAATTGGAAAAAATTCTGAAATTTTTTTTCAGTTGGCCAAAAATAAGTTAAAATAGTAAAAGAAAAACAAATATGTTAAAATAGAACGAGTTGTTCGTTGAAAATTTGATTTTTTTTTTCTTATAACAAGAAAATATTCTTTTAAAAAAATGAGCAATTTACATCGTTCAACAATCAATGTAATCAATACATCAAGATCATCGTCATCATCATCATCTTTAATGAAGAATAATAAAAATCATCAATCAACAAGTACTACAATGATGCATGTCGATCAATTGAACAGTAGTGATGAAGATTCGACTAATAATAATAATAATGGTAATAATGATCTAAAACGACAGAAATCAGTTGTTCGTGAAATCGGTTCACAAGCAGTATGGTCATTATCATCATGTAAACCGGGATTTGGTGTTGAACAATTACGTGATAATTGTAAAGATACATATTGGCAATCGGATGGTGTACAACCACATTTGGTCAATATACAATTTAGACGTAAAACAACTGTTTGTGAGATTAAAATATTTGCCGATTATAAATTGGATGAATCATATACGCCGAATAAAATATCCGTACGTGCAGGTAATCATTTTCATGATCTACATGAAGTAGCATTAGTCGAATTGATTGAACCATGTGGATGGGAAACAATACCGTTACGTGATGCTGATGATCATCCAATACGTGCATTTCTCATACAGATTGCCGTACTTGGTAATCATCAGAATGGTCGTGACACACATATTCGTCAAATAAAGATTAATTCACCTGTCGAAGATACTGTTTTATCTGTGAAAAAATTACCACAAGATTTTCGTACGATACGTTTCTGGGAACATACATGTTTACGATAGTCATCGATAAGTTTTTTTTTTGGTAAAATGATCAAATTTTTTTATTTATTTACGAGAAGCTTCGCTTCTCGTGTTTATTATATAGATAATTTTCCTCCTAAAATCATAATCATCATCATCATATTATGTGAGTTGTGTGTAAATTTTCAAAAAAAAATTCACTTTACATTTTAAAGATTTGATAATAATAAATACAGTGAAAAAAAAACTCAAACATGTATTGTTTTCCATTATTTTGTAATCATATATACTTTTATTTGGGAACATTACCGGTCAATGTGATATCCATAAATTTACGTTTAGCAAAACAAAGCCACCATTTGGATGGTTTACCATTATCGGTTTCAAAAACACGTTCAGCAAGACGAAAACCACATTCTTGTCGTAATTGTAATAAATATTGACGCATTAAATCTTGTTCTTCAGCTGTCGTTGGTTTTGCATATACTGCATTCAATGGAAATCCTGGATCACCTGTTTGTTTGTTGTTGTTAAAATAATTAAAATAATCATCAGAGAAAATGACTACCATTCATACCTGGTATATCAAATCGTGAAATGGCCAATGCATGCATCTCAGCAATAGCATGTTCTTTTGTATTTAAACGTTGTAATTTTTTTAAACATTCAATAACATATAATGTTAAATAGATTAATACACGATCAGCATTTGATTGTATTTCATATGTTTTGAAAAATACATTCGGTTTAAAATAGAATAATGTTTCATCAATTATATCCATTGATGGTTCAGTTTGGCCATTGGTCATCATCATCATACCATTACCATTTATCATTTGATTCGATATGATTGGACCACGAAATTTCGTTCGAAATGGTAATAATGCCATATTACCAACCGAACGATCGGATGTTAATTTTGAATGATATGAAGGCATTGTTTTCATTTAAATCATTTAGATGAAATTTTTGATTGTAATCGTTGATTTATAGCTGCCTTTGATGTTTTTTTTCTTTTTCTTTTTTGTTTTCAAAATTTATTGAAAAGATTATTATTTAGTTTTATTAATTCATTGAATTATGATTTTGATTTAAAAACAGAATAATATAAATAATGAGGCGAGGCGGTTAATATGTTTATTTTATTATGAATGACTGAATGTGATGCGGCGCTCACTTGACATCATCATTTGTGATGAGCACCTATTTATTTATCATTAAACCACTGCAGTCAAAATAGTGACATTCAATTTGCCTTTGCGAATTGTGTGCGAAAGAATTTGAGAAAAAAAAAACGTGATTCATTTTTGAAGAATGTTTTAAAAGATTTTTTTTAGGAAATGTTTAAATTTTTTGTTAGAATTGGATCATTAGTTGGTCATCAAAATGTGGGAAATAAATTTTCTACAATTACAAATTATCCATTTTTTGTAACTGGCCATCATCATCATCATCATCAGAATTATCATCAGAATTATACATCGATTGTGATTTTAAACCATAATGGTCCATATAAAACTGCCTCAAATCTAAGGTTTCTATCTTCGATACAGCAACAAACTAAATTGATACATTCAGATGATGAATCTACATCGCCACCGACATCAACAACTGAAGATTTACTGCCTAAATCATCACCAACATCTATCATTGAATATGATGAACGTCGTTTTAAAGAATTATCGATTGAATTTTCAAAATCATTAAGCAAAAATCAATTAACCAATATTGAAAATGTATGGAAAGATATTCCACCATTAACAATATCGAATGTTTTAAATGATTATTCAAAATTAGCTAAAATTAAGCTAACAGGTCTAGTTGTATTGACAACATTGGCCGGTTCTTATATGGCCATTGAATCAACAGTAAATCCAATGTTATTAATTTCAACTTTGATCGGTACAGCGTTAACATCTGGATCGGCAGCTGCATGGAATCATTTTCTTGAAGTACCATTCGATTCACAAATGCGTCGAACACAAGCACGTCCATTGGTTAAAGGTTCGCTAACACCATTACATGCGGCTACATTTGCTACAATTACTGGTGTTGCTGGACTTACGATATTAGCCACCTATGTTAATCCATTGACTGCATTATTAGGTGGTGTTAATCTTTGTCTTTATTCATTCATGTATACACCATTAAAACGTGTACATATTGTTAACACTTGGATCGGTGCAATTGTCGGTGCTATTCCACCAATCATGGGATTTACCGCTGTCAATAATTTTATTGGTTTGTTTCAATGATTCATATCATACTTATGAGAATAATTTCAAACAAATTTTCTATTCCTACAGATTTACCATCACTTTTATTAGGTCTGATATTATATTCATGGCAATTTCCACATTTTAATGCACTTTCATGGAATATGCGTCATGAATATGCACGTGCCGGTTATCGTATGATGTCCGTTACTAATCCAAAATTATGTCAACAAACAGCATTTCGACATTCAATTCTATTATTGGGCTATACAACGGCAATGTGTGCCACCGAAATGACACATTGGTCATTTGGTATCGATTCATTACCATTTTCCTTATATCTTATCTATCTTTCGTATAGATTTCAAAAAGAACCATCATCACAAACATCACGAAAATTATTTCTATATTCATTAATTTATTTACCTGTTATTATGTTATTGATGGTTATATCGAAAAATAGAAAATCATCTAAAAAGAAAATCGAAATAGATCGGTGAATGAATCAATAAATTGTCTGTTTTGATCAAATTTTATTTAAAGAAAATTAATTGTTTTTTTGTTTTGTTATTTGTAAATAAATTGAATTAAATGAATTAAACCGAATCTTTTTTTCTTTCTTAATTTAAATGTGAATCCTGGCACCGAAAAGCTTTAATTTCAAAAAAAATTTATGGTATTTTTGATTTATAGATGGCGGATCATGTTCTGCAAAAAAAAAAACAAAATTACTTTTTTTTTTAATTTCAGTTAATAAATTTTATCTTTTTTTTTAAAGGCAAAAAGAAAAACGGAGTAGAAAAAAAAACGCACATCAATTTAACCATTGGGTAAGTTATTTTTATTCATTTTGGGATTCATTCAGATTAATAAATAATGATAACGATAAATTACGTAATTAACTAATTATATACATTTATTATCATTAAAAATATCTCTTTTCATCATTAGTTCAACTTGAAAAAAAGGTGTAAATGTTTGTCGTTCAAGTAAAACATACAAATGAATTCAATGATGATGATGAAACGAACGAATACAAATTGGGAATTTGAAATGAAGAAGAAGAAGAAGAAGACTGAAAAAAAAATATCGACAGACAAACATTGATCACACAAAAATCGTGAAATCAATCAATCCGGGGGAGAAAAGAAATTCCAAAGACACAGACAGAAGCAGAAGAAGAAGTAGAAACTTTTTTTTGGCCTCATCTCCGTTTTTTTTCCATTCAAATTCAATTCATCTTCGCAAATGACCTCTGTAATGGTCAAACGAATGTATAAAAAAAAGTTATTATTATTACCATTATTATTACCATCCATTTCTCTTTTGGGGATTAGATAATTTGTTTTCATTTTGCAAATAAAGAAAAAAAGTAAAAAAAAAATTGGATCAGGTATAAAATTTTTTTTTTGGTTTCATGATGAACAAGTTAATGTTTTGAATGTTTAAGATTAAAGTAGGAATGAAAAAAATACCATCGAATATTATGAATGATTCGTGATTTGAAAGAAGCGAAATGAAAATTATTATTTTTTGCATTCATCTCAATCTTTTTGAACAATTAAGAAATTGATAATGATGATTTTTAATTGGAAATTCGTTTCTCTCTCTCTTTCACTTCGTTCGAGAATCTGAAATATCATGAATTTGAATTTAAATGATTTTTTGGTTTCATTTAGTTTGAATGTTTTTTTTCTGTGGTTTTAATTTTAATTATGATCACGATTTTTGTTTTCTAGTTCTGGTCATTGGTTGATGAATCAGCCACTGAATAATTATTATATTTAAATTTTCACTGTATTTCAAAACTTGTTTTTCTTTTTTTTTTCGTTCGTTTTATTCGTTTGTTTGTGTTTTCATAGCTTGATTCAACTAATATCAATGAATCAAAAAAAACAAAACAAATTGAATAATCTAAAAATATCATTTTAAAACCAAAATTGATTGTTTAAAAGGGAAAATTATTTCATTTTCCACTCTAATTTCATGCTTATAAGTCTTATCTAAATGTAAAGTTTTAATGAGGGAATAAAAAAAAATAACAGATTCTCTGTTGGGTAATCTAGATCTTTATTCTTAGGTAAGAATTCAGGGTATTTTATTTTTGGTTTATCACATTATCTTACACCAAAATAATAATGAATTTTCATTATTTTATCTAAAATGAACGAAATGAAAAGCTAATTTAAAGATAATTTTTGTTTTCAATTACTTCCGATATATATCTTCTGTGTTTACAAAAAAATGGATAAAAACAAGAAGAATATCAACGTTTCAAACGGAAATTGTTTATTTGGTCATTGTTGTCATTGTTGTTGTTTTTTCCCCCGTTATTCAACTTGGTGATTATTGTTGGTTGTGGGTGTTTTGTTTTTTTTCTGGTACAAATTTCTAATCATTAATTTCTTTTGTTTTACTAACTTTTTTTTCCTAATGATTTGCACTTGAATTTCGTAATCTAAAAAAAATCTAATCGAAACTTTCAATTTTGAAAATAAATAAAATTTATTTTTAATATGAAAAAAAATAGATAGCTAAAAATATTATTGAACCAAACCAGAATTGAGATAAAACACATTGTTATTAATAATAATAATAATGTTGTTGTTGTTGTTGCTAATGATAAAGAAACCCAAATTTAGTTTTTCCCCAATTTAGTTGTTTTGTATTAATTAAATTAAAATTATTTTTTTCGTTTCAAATCAACCTTATTCTTCAATTTTTCATTATTTTATTTCAGTTGATTCAGAAAACTCGAATCTGATAAATTTGATGATTTTCGTTTCAATTGTGTGAATTGACTGAATGATAACCAAAAAAATATATTGAAAAAAAACAAAAATTCTATTTATTGATAATGTCTCCAAATGACAGTTTGTCAGTTTTTGAATGAAAGATAATTTCTTCAATTTCATAATCGTTGTTGTTGTTGTTGGTTTTTTTCCAGGTACACACCAACATGAACATATGACTGCATATTCATTTCGAAAAAAAAAATTGAAATTACAATTAAAATATTCTTTGAATTTGGAAACTTTTTATATTTTCGTCCCCATTTTTTTATAAAAAATCGATATTTTCAATGATGAATTTTTGCCTGATGATAATGCAATGAGAGAGCGAGAGAGAGAAAGTTGACAATTATTCAAAATAGAATAATTAATCATTCTGGATGAACAAAAAAAAAAACACGCGAAAACATTTGACAAAAGTTTTTTCCGCAATCATTTTTAAATTTTGTATTTTTTCTTTTGTATAATCAAAAGAAAAATGTACACACACATACACACGCACCGGTAACAATAATTAAAATATCAATTTTTTTTGTTCAAACCCATATAATAATTATAATTTTCATTTGAAAACTAAAACAACAAATGGTCTTATTTTCATTTCAATTCAAAGAATCGATCCAATGGAAGAAAAATTCAGCAGCTGTAACCTAAATTATGAAATGATTATTGTCATTGTGTGTGTGTGTGTGTGTTTTAATGAAAATAAAATCAATATTAAAAGAAATGATAATGATAATAATGATGATGAAGAAATTGAAAACAAAATCGTAATAGATATTGATGATTATTATAATTATAATTATGATTATTGTTTTGTTTTCGTTTCGTTTCATTTCATCTTAAATCGTAATTGCAACATGGCAAAAAACAATCCTGTCCCAAAATCGATTGATTATCATTAATCGATTTGGAAATTAAATATCAAATAATTTTGTCGCTTGTTTTTTTTTTGTAAATTTACAGCAAAAAAAACCTAAGAAAATACAAACAATTTAAAGAGTTAATGATCTTAATTTTCATGGCTACAGGAAACAAAAAAAACGAAAAAAATGAATTGAAATTCAAATCAGAAAATGTCGTTTGCGAGATAGAAAAACATCGAAAACATCATCATCCTAATCATCATTTTTTTAAAGCTTCTGCAATTTATAATCATTGATGATGATGATCATCTTTGAAACATCATGAAAACATTGAATGTTTTTTATTTTTCCTTCCATTTTGAAAATCGATAAACATGATTGTAAAAGAAAAAAATTCTCATTAATAATCGTAGGTGTTATCAAGAACGATGCGAATCGAAACGAAAAAAAAAACATACATACATCATGTATATTACTGCCCACATGGAAATGTTTATTATTCAAAAAAACTGAAAAACTAAAATATTGAAATTTGTCATCGAAATGAAATGGAAAAAAATGCTAATCAATTGATACAAATGTTTTTTTCTTTTCTGTGAAAAAATTATGATGACAAATAATGCCAAGGTCATTGAATAAGGCAATTTTTTTGAATAAAATTTAAATTTTTTTCACATTTAAAATGGGAATTTGAATTTTTTTTCAAAAAAAGGAAGGCAATTTGTCAATTTAGTTTATTACTATAGTGTGGTTTGAATGTTCATTTTCAATTAGGATTTAACAAAATCAATTTGAATTTTTTAGCAAAAAAAAGGTGATTGAAAAAGATTTATTCCATCTTTACTGGAAACATTCTTACTTTGTGAACATTTTTTTTTCATTTCGACATAATGATTTAGATTTTCAAATTTTCTTATTTACAGGTGGTTAAAGGATAGAAAAAAATGACAATATTCAATTTGAAAAACAGTAAAAAGGAAATATTTGAGCAAGCAAAAAAAAACTATAAAATCTTTGACATTTATAATTATCGAAATGAAAAAAATGAAATGAAAAAATCTCAATCAAACAAAATATGTATTTTGTGTATGTGTTATACGTTTAGCATCATCACATAGGATTATGTGTCATTTCATGTGGGAATCAAATCAACGATGATGATGATGATAATAATAATTATATCATTCATCATTCATCAGGTGCTGAATGTAAATCATCATTCATTGAAAAACCGAAAAACAATCGAATCAATGGAAAATCAATCATCGATTAATGATAATTTATGAATCGAATCCGATTTATTTAGTTTTTTTTTCTTCAAAAATCAAACCAAACCAGGACAAAAATTATTGAAAATTTTGTTTAGTTTATTGTTTCCACTTTTTCAAAATAATAATCCGTGACAATCGGTGTGTGTGTGTGTACCTGTGACAATCTCGTTACAAATAAATTGAAAATAATCGTTTTAAATTGACGATTGACAAGACAAACAAAATGCTTTTTTGGTTTTCTGATTTTTGATTTTCTGGATTTTTTTTCGAAAAAAAAATCTTTAAATAATGATTTTCAAATTCGATTCAATGGTGAAATGATGAATGAAGCTTTTTTCGCTATAAAATCCTTATTTGTATGTCATCATCATTTGAATGTCAAATGTAAATATGATAAATCTTTTCTTTTTTGGCCATCCATTCATTCAATCATATTGATTTTTTCAAATAGAAAATGATTATAGATTGAATTCGATTGATTACATTGAAAGCAACCATCATTTCATTCGTTTTTGATGAATCAATGACAGGTGATATGACCTGTCATTCAAATTGGCTACCTGAATCTACCTGTTTATCTGAATTTGA